CCCCCCGTTCAAGTCTTCCCTGAGAAGGGGGACATAGGATGCGCCACGGTGGACGATCCCCTTCTATTTCTTTTAATGAGCATCTTTTTAGTTCCCAATCAATTTGACGGCGCCGGCTGATTCCCCGACACCAGTCAAACCTCATGGGCCCGTGTAAGTACGGTTCGAACCCTCTTCCAGGTCCAGCCCTCTTGCAGGCATACCCTCTTCCGGGTTTTGATATTTTTTCTATTATACTGAGCAAGACCGGTGTAGTAACCAACGTGCCAGGTCCGGGCCTGTGTCTCAGTTGGCTTAGCCGAACTAAACCTCGAATCGAATCGAACCAACCCAAATCGATTATAACATATATCCGAAGAGATCCGAATCGAGATAGAAGTGTTAAGTCTAAATGGGTTGTTTTTTTCTCTAATTTTTTCTAAAATCTTTCGTTTTTAACTCTTTGTAAAATCTTCCAACTGCTTTCAATATATTCCAACAGCTAAATTCTTCTCACTCTTTTTAATTTGTTGCAACTTTTTTCACCCCCTTCTAGTTCTTTTAGTGTTTCTAATCCAACTTGATGGGATTGATCCCACCAACTATAAAAGTATAAAAAACGTAAATATGAAGTGAAATTTGTAGTAAATAGAACTAAAACATAAGTCATTTCTCAATGTAGGACTTAAACTTTTTTATTCCCTGAATAATATTTAATAATGTCTAGTAGAAGGAATAATAATGACTAATGGATAATGACCAATGATTTTATATTGAAAAATAAAAACATATGACCCTATATTGAGAAAGTCATTATGTATTAGTCTTATTTAAGTAAATTTCCAAATATGAATGATAATAAACCCTCATAAAGTAGGTTCTCAATGTTACTTGCATTAGCTTATTTTAGTTTCAAACTTTCAGTTACAACTGAAGTTTTATCCCTATTTATAATCTATATTCCGATACGTACATAGTATGTTATTGTGTCCTACTTTTCTCAAAATTATTGGTCTAACGTGCATTAAGTGTGGGCGAGAGAATCAGTCATCAATTATCCACGATCAACGGGATTATCCGCTCCAATCATTAAATCACCCGGGCCAGGGCCCAATTCCGTAATTTGTGCTTCCTTCGACCTGATTTGTCCCCGGGACAAATCTTAATATTCAGCTAGGCCCGACATTGTATTGAGTTCTAAATTGCACATTGGGCCGACTCTTCCTATCCATCACAACTATATTTTTCAAAGCCAAAAGAAAAATCTCAAATTTTTTTCAAATCATTTTACTTAAAGACTGATATAGAAATTACAAATAAAACTTGCATATAAAAAATTACATAAAAAAATTCTACAAAATAATAGGTGGCAAGATTTTTTATTTTATCAAATACTCCGTGATCAATGAAAATGTAAAAATACATTAAATACCTCTTGGAAAATATATTGTTTTTGCATACGAAAGAGCATTGTACATCAAATGGAATTCATTTTTTAAATTACGGAGTACAAAATAAAGTAGTAATTTCAACATTTTGAGCATCATCATCAACAAATGAAGAGTAGTTTAACAGATATTGGTAACAATAATTAGTAAATCACTTTGAAGATACGATAAAAGTTATATTTTTCTCAGAAACAAAAACTTCTTGTTCTTTAGACACTGAATCTTGGGAATCATACATAAGTTCATAATGTAGAAGTGTTGAACATTAATACTCAATATAGTTGTCGATATTTTACATATAATGTAATATCGTTGGTCAAAATTTTAAATACAAAGTATGTAATAATAATTCTCAGTATAAGAATGTAAGAATTAAGGCTGAATCATTATAAGAGATTGCGGATAAGAGATTGAGAATTTCAGATATTGAGAGAGTTGTATTGAACATATCTATGATATGTTTACATTTGAGATTTGCAAAAAAAAATGCAATGGCTATCAGGATTCATATGGAAAAATGCCACTTTATTCTCAATTTCAAATATGTGAGTCAATAAATTTCAGAGTACATATATACTGCATTACAGCTGGTGTTGAATGTTTTTACTTTTTACAGAGAAATGAATAAAGTACAACAGAGTGAATTTCTCACTGCACACACTCTATATAAGCAAAGTTTAAAACAGAAATATACACTTGCATAGATTGACATATAAAGACCACTTCATCTGAAGGTCGAGAACTTCATTCGTATAACAAACAGAGCACCACAACAAAGAGATTTTAAGGAGAGAACTCACAGTTTGTGAGCGGGTTTATCTTCAAATGTTAAAGTCGAAGTGTCGTTCTGGCGATCATTTCTACTCATTTTCTCTGAACTGACTGCATCACCACGGCTCTTTCTTCTTCCCAACTTGGGTGATTTTGCACGAGTTGGCGGGGGCTGTCATTTTCATATGAGGTGATTACATATTGATCAAGTGGTTATTAGTTTTAGAGCTAATACTCCGTACCATATTTGGTCCATTGACTACAAATATTACTCCATCACGTCCTTGCATTTGTTTTTGTCCTCGACGATGCAATTTAAAAAGACTATACTCTTCAAGCATATTTTGCTCAAAGTTATTTTTGTACCTTGAGAACTAAACCAAGTCCATAATACACGGTTGCGTTCAAATTGAGTCTGAAACTGGTTCTAAATATAGTTAATGAGCAAAAATGCCCTTGTTGATCCAAGGACTAAATTAGATCCAAATTCCATCGAGTCAAATAAAAAGATGAGGACCAATATTGAGTCAAATTAAAAGATGACGACCAATATCCAATGACTAAATTAGATCAAGGCTCCCTACTTTCTGAGTAGGGGTAAGATGTGCGTACACGCACCCTCTCTAGACCTTACTTTTTGAATGAATTTATTGGGTTTGTTGTTGTTGTTAGTGTATAGTAAAAGGGTGGGTGTTGACTCTTTTGGAGATTCAGTGAATTGATCAAACATATATAAATACGACATACGCAACACAAATGCATTACCTTCTTTAGTTCAATCTTGGGTGGTGGTCCTTCATGGTAGAAGCTTGGCATGGGGTTTGCCTTAAATGCCAAACTTTTCCTTAGTTGCTTTATAGCTGCTTCAGTTTCTTCCTGAGATTAAAAGGCCACAAAGAAAAACATCATATTCATGTGGTTCATTACTTCTATATTAAGCCTGTGTTTGTTACCACTTGGAAACCTTGAAAATGAATTTTTCATGTGTTTGGCACCACGAAATAATTTTTCCAAAGAAAATAGTTTCCACGATCTTTGAACTAATGTGAAAATTGAATTCTTTTTAAAAGAATCATTTTTCTAAGAGAGTTTGCTTTTTCTATTTTTGTGTGTAAAAACATTTGATCATATATAGAACAGAGGTTTCTTTAATGGCAGTTTATTTTCAGCACGAGCGGTTAGAGCTGGTTATCCTAGTAAGATGGAGATGCAGATCAAAATATACCCACCTTTGTTCTTGCCTCCCACTGACTTCTCTCAGTCTCCAGAGCTTGATGTTTCTCTTCCAACTTCGAGTGAAACTGGTCAACAGAATAACATTGAACTAAGAATTTCATGTCCTATAGTAGATTCAGCCATGTAGCTTTTGAACACACAAGAACGTGGAAAATGACTAACTGACTATTGTTGTTGAATATCCCACATTAGTTCTCTGATCGGTATGAGTTCAGTACTCCCGATTTTTATTATAAAGCTCATTTAAAAACAAGTCATTAGTCCATTTTATAAGGCATTAATCTGTATTATTTATGAAGCATTTTTGTTTATTTTCCATGGTTTGACCATGATAAATATTGCGTTCATGTGACATAATACTTAATAAAAGAAAATGAAGACTCATAATCTTATTTGACATATCAAGAATATAAACTACTTGTCTACTTTCCTTGTTTGCTTAAAGTATAAATTGGTCAATTGATCCCCAGTTAATCCCTGACTAGGCACTAAACCCCAGCCTGCCGCCTAGTGGGTCCCTAGTGATTTTAAGAACATTGACAAAAATAAGGATGCTATGTTATACCTCCTTTCTTCTCTCTGCACGTTTGGTGCATCTAAATACTGGCACTGGTGCAACATTCGTCTTAGGCCTTCTTGCTAATGTACCGGGTCTTCACAAAGTCAATGAAATTAGTAAATAGAATATCAGAATTAAAGAGGAGCAAAATCATTGACTCAAAAAGAAAAATGTTACTCCGTATAATTTAAGATCACGATGAAAGGGGATATACAAAGAAGAAACAGAGCAAGAATCATCATCATCCGTATGCTTCTTGTTGTCAGGTTGCAATGGCTTTCTTGTTGCCACTGGCAAGGCTAACTGCATCCACAAAATGGATTAAGTAAAGAGTCTCCTTTATTAAAAAAATAAAGAATAAACATGTTGTAATTTGTTGAGTATTCCACATTGGCTTGAGTTAAGTATACAAGTACGACCTCCCGACCTCTTGAGAACTATTTTGGGGTTAAGTGATGCCCATTTTAATATGATAACATGGTAGACCCTTCAGGGCATGAGCTGATATAGTGTGTTGAGTCTTTCATATTAGTTGTATATTGGTTATAGAAGTGTTATTTCAGTAAACAAGTGTGAGGTGGATATGACTTCTTGAGTATCCTTTTGGGAAAAGTTGAGCACAAGTTAACATAAACTAAGACTGAGCAAAGAGCCAAAGATATTGACCTGATTTTGCTTGGAACCCGGTGGGAGTTGCAAATTGTTTGTCTGAGATATTTCATTCCCAACAAACCGAGTTCCATTGAAAGCACGCTTTTCAGTTGCCAGAGCAAATGGATGAGGAACTGTGCGCGTCGTTTTGTAGTTTCCAGAAACCGATTTGGTTGCAGCTTTTGTATAATTTTTTGATTTCATGTTAATATCTGCATCTTTCTTACCATTGGAATCAAGATCCTTGATGTTTTCAGATTTTTTAGATCTAGAGATCGAAATCGACATGTCAGCAGTGCACTCCTTCACTTCATAATCTTTTCCTTCAGAAATCTCTGCAGAAGCACAGTTTTCTCCTTCCACATTGGCATGCTCATGATCCACCTCTTGATTTCTACTCATATCTTGTGAAATACCATTGGGATCCTTTAGAAATACACTATCAAGTTCCTTGTCCACAAAAATATCAATAACTTCCATCCCCATAGAACTGCACACACAAAAAAAAGTATATAAGCATTGCATGAGAAAACATTGGGATCGTTTACCAGAAAGAAAAGTTTTCCAGTTTTCACCGACACATCACACATGAAGTGAAGAAGGATGAACAAATTGATGCTTACAAAAAAAAACAGATTTATGGATCAAGCAAAGCAAAATCAAAAGGAGCAATAGATGATTAGCAATATATAGGATGACCAAGCAGAACCATTCAGCTAATCATTATATCAAACACCTTTCCTTCCCTCAAATGAAGCGTTGACACTAAGATCAACACACAAATCATACGATTTCTTTCAACAAAAACCGATCTTTGGCTCGACCCAGATACAAAATTATACCGATAAAATCACCAAAACGCATGTTCAACAATGGGCAATCACTGATTCTCGGAAACCCATGTTTTTCACTGGTTCTAAAACTGCTAAAATCAAATCATCCGGGAGAAGCCATTACAGACAGCATAGATCTATGGGTAGATACTCACAATTATCGAAGCTGACTAGTAAATGCCAATTCCAAGAGATGAGTGGAAATGCAGAGATTGGCAGTGTTGGATTCTTCTGGAGTTATGGATGAGAAATCTTCTTGTACATATGCCCGCGGTTATGGGGAGATGTGGAGCCAATGGAGCGTGCGTCTCTGCTTCGTCTGTCTCGCTTGCCAATTTATAGCATTAACTTTGCATGGAAAAGAATGTAAAATGGACTATTTGTGACCATGATAATGCTTAATTTAGGGAGTTTTTGATTTTGATTTTGGCTTGAGTAAAGTAACACTTTCAAAAATTGAAAGTAGAAAATGGGATTCTATGTGCAAAATAATGATCGAGAAAAACATAATCTGACATGTCAAACATAGTAAAATGACTATAACTCAAAACATAATTTAAATTCTTAAAATTATTGATGATTTTTATATATAAAGTTCCTGGAATCATTTCAACAAAACCAACGTCACATACAAGTAATTTTTTGAACGTTTCCTCTTAAATTCAATCTATAATGTTTTATACCCCGTCTCAATTTAATAGTCGATATTTAATTTGGTAGAAATTTTCAAAAAAAATTGTGCGGTTGAAAGTGACACAGATAAAAGAAAAAAATATGAGCCGCAATTTTTTTACCTCGAATAGAAAAAAGACTTTTTTTGCGACTTCTCAAAAAGGAAATAAAAACTGTTATTTTTTAAACTATCATTTCATGAGTCAAGGTGGAGACTTGTTAATATATGCCTTGAATCTGTATTATTTGCCGTTACACAGATAGGAAACGGCGGTCTCGTTGTACTCTAGAACCGCTGTCATAATACAATCCGGCTCTGTTCTTGCCTGTGGACGTAGCCAACACAACGTTGGTGAACCACGTTAAATCTGTGTGTTTTTACGTTTTTTCTATTTGCTTCAGTTACTCAATTACTCTATTTCGTAATAACAAAAATATAATGATTAGGGAGTATATTCCATGCCCACGTATGTACCATGCAAGATTACAGCTAGCAAAATACTCGTATTAATGGCTTTATATATAGTCTAATTCTAATAAGACTATAAGAGGAGAAGTTGAGTTGTCACTTGTCTCAACTAAAACAAGATTAATTAGTGACAGAGACCAATCCTTGCTAGCTCAAGGGTCAAGTCTCTCCCTGTTTAAATACATATGACCTCTTTGAGGGCTTGGAAAAGGGGAAAAAATCACTTAATCATTTTTTACTAAGGGATTATTGTGTGGTATATAATGTTGAGAAAAATATATACACATTACACAAAAAATCTATCAAATAAAAGAGTATACTATTGCGTAAAAAAATATCGAGTTTTGTAAAAAAACACTCATCAACAAAGTACAAAAACATCGAGTTGTGTAAATAAAAACACTGAGTGACAAAGTACAAAACTTTGAGTTATAAAAAGATAAAACTCTTACACTATGTGATAGAATTTGGGATGGGTATGGACAACTAGATTGAGCTATAAGACACTTGGGCTGAACCACATTAAAAGATTGAATCCAATCGATTAGTTAGTTCAACTCAAGAGCTTATATACCGATTATTTTGCTCTTGAACTTCCGATGTGGGATGACATTCTAACACTTCCCCTCAAGTGGACAACCGAGCCATTTTGAATCTAACCGGTTGACCACTTGTAAATAAACACTCATTCCCTTGAATATTTTTTTAGCGCTAACACCTAAAGGACCACGAGCCGCTGGCTATGGACTTCCAGACGAACAATCGTGTTAAACGAGCCACAGGCCGTTGGGTACATACTCCATACGGACAACTGGGCTAAGACAAATGGGCCGCTAGGAATGAACGTCTAGACGGATACCTTGACAAACGAGGTGAGCCAAAACCTGCTCCGATACCATGATAGAATTTGGGATGGGTATAGACAACTGGATTGAGCTATAAGACACTTGGGCCAAACCACATTAAAAGATTGAATCCAATCGATTAGTTAGTTCAACTCAAGAGCTTATATACCGATTATTTTGCTCTTTAACTTCCGATGTAGGATGACACTCTAACACTATGGCAGTCGGCATTTGATATTGAAATCCTAGATGACTTCGTATTATGCCCTCATAAGTCATAACCACTCAATAAAACGAGAAAAGTGCACTGTTTACCCTCCGAATTCTTTTGAAATTGTACAGTTTACCCCCAATTATTAAAAAGTATACCAAATACCCTTGAATTCTTCAAAAAATTGCACAGTTTAGAGAAAGTACTTTAGAGAAATCACAAAGGCCAGATGAATCATACTTGCAATTTTCGTGCGTGGGAGCAACACACTCCCTATCTAGCATTTTAGGAACAATGCAATGTTTTAAATCGTTCAGGGGTATTCAGTATACTTTTTAATGTTCAAGGGTAAAACGTGCAATTTTTGAAGAGTTTGAGGGCAAACAGTGCACTTTTTAATGTTCGAGTGTAAACCGTGCAATTTCCAAAGAGTTTGGGGATAAATAGTGCATTTTTAATTTCTCTTTGATAAATAATGTAGTTATGTCACCACTAGTTTTATAGAATTTTATATAGTTTTCAAATATATAACTTTTGTATATTTTCATTGTATACCACTTTTATATATTTTAATTGTATAACTTTTTATTTAAATAGTTTTTAAATATATATATTTTATATAAAATGTTTAAAAATGGTTTCTGTCAAATATCGTAAACCAAAACAAGCAATTTAAATTGGGGCGGAGATAGTATTGCAAATTTGTTAATTCGAATTATTATAACTATTAGTATGTACAACAACTCTATTTTATTTTGTAATTAATTAATTGATTATCAAAATTAATCTATTCAATTTAATTGAAAATTTATTAAATGAATATTCTAGACCAATGGATGACCCAAATAGCATACATACTCTAAGATCTGAATAATTTAGTTCTACAAATAGTTTGATAATTCATTATATTCTGGATTTTTCTTCATATGTAAAATACTCTTAATTATCAATGGTTCTCAAGCTTTATTGTTAAAAGTTGCAATAAAAATAATTATTACGTAAATTTAATCCATTCATGCGTCCACCGACAACAACTTTTAAATCTTATAATAAGTACTTAAAAAAAGTGTACAAACTTGAGTATAAATTTAATTTGTTACTCCTTACATTTCAATTTAAATCGACTCTTTCAGTTAACAATATTTAATTGATATTATTTTTAATACGAGTACATTTTATTTGAAAAATAGGGTGGAATTAAAAAAATAAGTTTTAATATTTAAAATATCTTAAAACTAGATCAGAAATTTCTACGAAACAAGAGGAGAAATAATTATATTATTTTATAAAATGAATAACAAAAATAGAGAATGAAAGTTAACGATAGTTGATCTTGTGAAAAGTAAACAAATAATTTAATTTGAGACGAAAAGAATTAAAATTTACCAAAGAAAATAATATTAGTGATTTTAGTGTCATCGAGAGACTATTTTGAGTAATTAAAATTTACTTTAGACTCTATTTGAGTTTTATCGTCATCATCTTATATTTGCTCCAATAAATGTTTGTTTGTGTACACATTGCTGTCCACTTTTTTTAAGGGTAAAATAGGTAAACCGACCCGAATTTGTGTGGGTCACCTTAGTTTTAATGCAAGTAGCAAGAATTTGGTCCCATGGCTTAATTATGTTAATCTTGTGTTAACTGAAACATTTGACAACCTAACTTCTTTTAGGTTCGCATCAACATATATAATGATCCTTTGCTAGCTGTAATTGCGTGTATGGCCATGATATTACTCCGTATGTACTAACGCGTTTTTGATTAACGTCAACATTTTTATATAATTTTAACAGTGCAGATTTATTTTTTAAACGCTAATGCTAAACATTATCATTAGAAAACTTTTTCAAAACAGTAACTCAAACCTCTAACGTTGTTGCCAAGTAGGCCCATACTCAGATAGTTAGACCCTCGGCTCAAGTAACACAAATTGCACTGCAAGCACAGAAAGCACGGATCCACAAAAAGAATCTTCAAATATAGTTAATCTTCTTATTTTCATTTTCTCGACATTAGTTGGACAACGATGATATGAAGGTGTGACAAACTCATTTGAAGGACTTATTTGACATTTCAAAGTCATCTCTTAAATTGAACTTTTTGTAAAAAGTGAACTAAATCTACACAGATATGAGCAAAACCTCATATGATAATATTGTTCGAGGGCACATCAAGGTTGTAGCGACGACAACTTTGCGAGGGTCAACGCTAACACCTTCACGCCATTTGCGATATCTTCAATGTCAGAAAACTCCTCGGGTTTATGGCTATATCCTGCGCAAATCAATACAAATACATGTAATATGCCGCTAGCACGTCATATGTAGCGGTGAAAATAATTTTGTTGGGATTTATGCATGGTATTTAAGAGCCATTTGGCTTTGATTCTGAAAAACTCATTTTCTTGATTCAATCAGATTCTCATCTGATTGAATCTGATCTAGTTTTATTAAGGTTTGATCTAGTATGATCTGATTGTAGTTATATTTAAAGTTATAATACGAAGAGTGAATTCCCCAAATGGATACCTTTATAGCAAGGAATGAATATCATGCCCATTGGAGATACTCTGCAATCAAACATCATAAATCATCATATTTTAGGAGCAGAAATTTTAAAATATCATTCTTTTCCTCTGCCTAATCTCCAAATAAATCATCTAATACCAATTATATGGAGCTAATTGTGTTAGAATGTAGAATTTTTCCTGGACCTAAAACCACAAGCTTGAGCTTTTGGTTGAATTAGTTTCTTAACATGACTTCAAAAATCAAAACTTACCCCCCACCCAGTTCAAAATTTTAATGTTCACGTGTAAGGATCGAGCATAAACAAATCTTGCTTGCATATGAGGGGACATGTTAAGAGTACAAAATATTTTATGTGCCGACAATCATAAGCTTAAACTTCTGGTTGGGTTGGTTTCTTGACAAATTAGTCATTAACTAACAATATTTTATCTTTGGAAACAATGGACTATAATAAAACATGTGGCTTTTTATTTTGGTCTCTTCACATACCTGGCCATGAACAAGGAATCATGATAGGCTCTGCTAATCATTTTCTTGTAGTTCAAATTAAGGTGGCGGCATGCTGATTCGGTTGCCATGGTGATTGATTCATCAGATTGGGCGGGCGGATCTTGGTTCACTATCTTGAACTCTGACAGCTTTACGTTACGCTTCTCGGCTATGCTTAAGGCAGACTCGTGTATTTTCTCAACAACTTCGTTTCTCCTCTTTTCGTCGATGTCACGTGTGTCTGCAACAAGGATTTGAAACTTAATATTCTATACAAAACATGTCAAAAAATCAATTCAACCAAAAACTCAAGCTTGCGGTTGTAGCGTAAGAAAGAGTTTATACTCTAAAACACCCTTTCACGTGTAGTGGAGATTTGTTTTTATTTGAGATCTGCATGTAGACATTAATTGTTTAAAAAAATTGGATGACGATGAGGTTTGAACTCATGATTTCTAGGTCAACAAGCCTCAGATATCATGTCAAGAGACCAATTCAAAAGTTTTATAGTCTAACAAAACATAAGATTCTGAGGGAAAAGTATTGACAGTATTTCCAATAAAAAGCATTGGTGTTGAATTGTTAATTTAGTAAGGGATCCTAGAGGGGTCGTTGTAGATGTCCTATACACCGAATGTGCATCTCTGGTTTGCCTATTAGTTTTTGAGCCACAAGCCACAAACAAGTTTATACCTGCTGAAATTTATGTGTATTGCTTATTTTAAACAATTATAGAGTTTCGTATTCACTAACATTTTTCTCATCTACTTCCTCCGTCCCAAAAAAAACTTTCCATTTCTTAAAAGGAATGCAATAGTCCATATTGATTCTCTCTCGTCTGCATAAATCTCAGCCAAACCAATTCAGTTTTTCTTAAACTCCGTGAAAAAGCAAACAGGGAGTTTAATTTGGTACGGATGGAGTATTGTTTAGGGTCAATTATGTCTTTTACTAATACAATTAACACTTCAACAGATTTGGTTTGTGAAAGTTTTTAAGCAGAAAATTATACTTAGAAATACAAACAATACACATTTACTTTTACTTAAACTCTTAAAGAATCACTTGAGTAGTTGAGGTCATTGCCAAAGGAGCTACACAAGCCATTATTGACAATGTTTTAGTTTAGGGCAACATAATGGACTAAATCAAAATGGAACATTAAACTTCCTTTCCTTCTTACATTTTGTGAAGTTTTGGGTAGTAAATGTGGCAACGCATCTAGGGTCCTATATTAATGGGTTGTTGTTGTAATCACATACGTCTCCCAGAAAAGCAAAAGCGTTTTTTTAAAAGACTCATAAATCCTCCGTTATGATGAAATGTTTATATACTACTGAAAGAAGATAATACCTATATCCAGGTGTGATTTGCTTGGAATGCTGTTTACTGCTCCTGGATGCAGCTCCAGAATACCTTTGTTTTCATCCAAATAAATACAGTAAATAAATTAAATAAAATGAAAATAATGTCAAAAAATATTAAAGTCTAAGCCAGTTCTCATGCCTCATAGAAAACATGAAAAAATACCCACCCACAGTGCCAACTGTGTCCATTGATCCAGATTCCAATACATGTTTCTCCACCGCTAATGCCAACTCAGCCGCAGCCAGTCCAGCATCATTCCTGTCTCCAAGAATTTGCGTGCAAAATGATATTATTAATAATAATAATATTATTATTATTCCACTATGGAACTACAAATAAATGTCTAATGGTAAAAGAAGGTGAGTGAGTGAGTGAGTGAGTGAGAGTGTGAGTGCGAGTGTGAGTGTGAGTGTGAGTGTGTGTGTGTGTGTGCTCAAACTCATTTTATTTATTTATTTACTATATACACACATGTAACATTTTCTTCTTTTAAAAAAATAACATTAAATCATGCGAAGTGTTCCATTTTTGTTTGCATTTTCCAATGAAAAACGGAATATAAGAATAAATGTTCATAGCAATATTTTCCCCTTATTTTCCATGATCCAAACATATCCAACATTTGAATGGAGGGAGTACCTCTTTGGCATAAGGACAGCTCCGGCATGGCCACCATTGCCTTCAAAGTCAACCTTGATACTTGCAGGTGCAGCAATGGCAGTCACAATCCCAATAGGTATAGCTAAATTGAAACATGATCAGGACAAGAAGCTAAAAGATCTAGTCTTGTAGGGTCTGTTTGGATCACATAAAATAACAGGGAAATCGAAGTAATTCAAAAACGACAATTCTACCTTCCTCTTCTAGAAGTGGACCTTGTTCTATGTGCAGTTCTATAAAAGCGGAATAGCTTCCTTTCTTTAATAAAACATTGGAAAAGTGTAGAGCATTTCCGTAACCAGCAGACTCTGCAGCATCAGAAAATGAAATATTCTGACCATCCACTGTCTTCTTGAGTAGTCCTTCAAGCTCCACGCTCCCAGCCATTAACCGGCTGCAAGTTTCATAAGCATAAGAATCTTCAAGGACATGATAAAGAACAATTCATCTCTGATCATTATGGTTGTGAGCATCACGATCTGATTCTAACCTTCCCAAGCAGCTGATCCCAAACCTTGTAGGCTCCTCTGAGGTGAACATGATCACTTCCAGTGACCTTTTGGGCTTGAAGCCAGATCTGAGAAATTGTAACAAGTTCAACTATGTATAAACTGATACTCGTACAAAATTAGCATATTCCCTGGATAAAAACATTAAACTGTCTTAAGTTTAGAAGTTCCAAACAAATCTTAAAAAAAAAAGTATTCCGTGGTGTAAAATTTGGAGGGTTTTTGCCTGTTCAGCGCATTAAATGCCTCAATTGCACCTAAGACACCAACCACACCATCATATTTTCCAGAGTATGGTATGGCATCAATATGCGATCCTGTTGCAACTGGAGCCAGCTCCGGTTCATAGCCATTCCTATAGTAACATGATCAAATGTGTATAAATAACATGTAGAACCATGCTAGAGACACCCCACCTACTCACATATATTCAAAGACACCCGTTACTACCCATTACTGTCAATGTATGTAGATGTGTGTGTGAGAAGGCTTTGGTGAAAGATGGGGGTGAGAGTTAGGGTGATCCTAGCAAGGTAGGGTCACCCAACCACTACTAAGGAGTAAAATCTGTTAGGGTATCCTACATTGAAGATTTGTCCACATGTCACTCATCATATAAGAATACTCCCACACTCCCAAAAAAAGCCTCCTCATTTCCTTTTCAGGACGTCTCAAAAAAAGACTCTTCTTTCCAGTTTTGGAAAACTTTGTGTAGTTCATAATCTTTTCTCTCATCTGCATCACTTTCAACCACAATTTTACTTTTCTTAAACTTTATGCCAAACCAAATAAGGAACCTTATTTTGGGATGGAGGGAGCGTACAATACATACTTCATAACTTCATTGCCCGGCTCTTATATGATGTTGGCTTGTTTCGGTTTAATAAAAGTAAAGAAAACAAGTGGTGTCAAAATAAATTGAGAAAATTTAAAATTGGGCAGGAGTAAGAATATTTGTAGGAATGTGAAAAAGTGAAAGTATAACTTACCACCGACCAAAGATGTTACCTACTGCATCCTCTCTTACAGAGAGACCAGAAAGACTCATCAAGCTCTTCACATACCTGCACAATAGAGTGAGAATATTTGATTCAGAAAGGGCATATTAATAATAACTGCCATTTTGGTACAAACTGTTTCATGATTTCTTTTGTTTCATAAATACACAAAAAACACACTATATGTACCTCCTAGCCAATACATCGTTCGCGCTGTACAAGACCCTAGTTACTGAAGGTTCTGGTGAATCTGAGAAAGTTGATAGCTCATCAATCTACAATATCATATTTAAAGAAACAAACCAAAGAAACAAAGAAAAATTATCACCTCATTACACTTGAGTGCTCAAAGATAAACACACAACAAATGGAGAGGGGGAACTGAACCTTAGATTCCAATCTTGATATGTGATGGACTTTAATCCACCAGAAATATAAAGAAATATATAGAATAGATTGTAGATAATTATGGAAAGATAAAGCTATATGAACCCCTTGTATATTGATATTTCGACCCCTTCCCTGAGAAGACGAAAAGGAGTATTTATAGGTTTCAAGTGGTTAACCAATCAAAGGAAAATCAATATCCACTTCCCTAGGAGGAATAAGTGGATCGCGGATAATGGTGATGTTTATTGCAGATCCCTCTTGTCCCCTAACCTTAGTGTCTTCATATCCTCCACACTTCAACAAATTTAGACCCTCACTACTGGGTGCCCGACTCATTTCGCATGGGTCGGGCCCCTTACCAATTATGTTGGCTTTGGAGCCTTTGGTGGTCTGAGTCTACATACACTACTCCCTCATTCCAAAAAAAAATATTCTCAGTTTTCCTTTTGGTTTGTCTATAAAATTTCTTCCCATTTCCTTTCTACGTTCACACTTGGATGATTTACCCTTCACTTTTTAATGTTTAGCCATTTAATTATAACTTTTCATCTACACCATTCACAATATTTAACACTACTCATCCAAGTGTGAACGTAGAAAGTCAATGGTTTTTTCATCTCTCCTTAATATGTGTGCCGGGTCAAAGCCAGAAGAAAATTCTTGGACGGGTAGTATTATTTATGGAATAACTTCTTGTTCTTCATTCACAAAAGTTTTTTTTAATATTTATTTAACTTCTCCATATAAATCATTGGATCCTTCTTGCTCCTCTTTTATTAATCAAACTAAAATAATTTTTTTTTTAAAAAAAACAGTTTTTCAGTGAGGTGTAAAACCAGAGCAATTAATAACACCACCAATCAGGCAATCCAGGGTGTAATAGAACACCAAAAAACTTATCTTTTTTCAATCAGGAATTTCATCAAACACTTAATATGATAGTAAGTCGGGAGTAAAGATTCAGTCGTTAGGATGAATGAATTAATTCATGAAGTGGAACCGGAGGAGTGAAAAACGTGCCTGTTTCTGCAGAGAGTGAGTGTCCACTGATAAAGAAGAAACTGAGTTGGGATAATTGGGCTCGTGGATTGGGTACCCGGAGAAGTCCTCCATGGTCTTCACGGTGGAATCTTTTTCTCCATCTCTGTGAGCAGAAATTCCACCGGGGCCGGAGACGGAGAGGATTATGAAGAACAGAGAGAATCTCGCCGGAATATTCATATGATTGGATTGGCAACTACGGTGTATGATTGGAGTTGCAAGCTTGCAGCTGTGTTTTTTGTTTTTGGCTCGGAGTAGTATCCTCCCACTCATTGCAACTTTTTTTAGTGAAATTATACACTTTCACCGTAAAATTAAATGGAGAGTACCGAATCTACGTCCAAAAAAATCCCTAGGATTTTAAGTGGAATAGGAATTGAAATTAAATATAATTTAAAATAATATATATTCTAAAATTTGATTAGAATAAATTTTGATATGATCTGATTTGAAATGAATGTAGTTATATTTAAAATTGTTTCTGGTCTGATTTAGTCTAATCTGATATGAAATCATTCCTATACAAATTGCAAGTCAGAATCTAAGCGAGCAATCATACTTATATTTGTTGTGTACCCCTTCATGCCGATATCAAAATACACTTTTAGTTTTAAATTTAACATTAACATGACACAAGATAAAAAAGAACTATTGTTCTTTCCTCAGATCTGAATAGATCTCATGTAATTTTAACATCTGATCAAATTTCATTGCTAAGAAATCTATTTATTTCATCATACGGTAGAGTTAAGAGGGTAATTCAAAAATTCAAAGTGTGAGAGGATTAAGGCGCCAGTGGCAATGGAACCGGAGAGTAGCCGGCACACTTGCCTGAAGCTGGAAATTACGAGCAGCGGCGCGGCGGATCTGGAACGCATCTTCGTCAAAGGAACCTGGTTCACCTCCCACTTCGACCTCTCCATCTCCAATGGCCTCGACGCCTGGATTTGCAGCGGTATGGGAAAATAAAAAATAAAACTTTCCATTCAACTGTCATCTACTTTGCTTGCTTGATCTTCATCACTAAAATTAAATATCTGAAGCCTCGGAGGAAGAGGTTGAAGAGAGAGCTTCTCAATGGGACCAGCCGGTTTCAGAATACATCGAAATGGCGGAGAAATACCTAGGGTTTCAACAGCCCGGTTCGGTCTACGGGTTCTCTGATGCAGGTGTTGGCCACAGAAGAGTACGTCCCGCCGTTTTTTAACCCTTCTTATTATTTGATGCACTTTGAATTTGTTTTGTATTTGAGAAAAAAAATGGATTGGGTGTTTTCAGTTTCTTTGGATAGTACCAATTTCATATAGAATTCCCTGAGTGAGCAATTACCTCTTGGCATATGATTTGCTGAAACGAATGTTACCGAACGCCTTTCCTTTCAGAAAAAAAACCAGCAAATTCTGCCATTTAGCCAAGTAACCGTTTCCAAACGACCCCGGTTCTATATGTTGTGACTGTTCAACAGTTATTTTTATTAGTAGAGGGGAAAAATTCATGTGATATGCGTGCAGACGATAGGTTTTATGAAGCACGGAGTATAAACGTAAGCTCGTTTCTTTGTTCTTGATATGTATAGTTGTCATGGACATTTGAGAAGGAAGGAACAAAGCTGGAGGGGCGGTGGAAATGCCAACCATCACCTGATACTAAGAAAACTACAGCTGACATCTTGGATTTTCTCATGGATTCAAACATACAACTGAGTGTAAGACCTAACACCGCTCTACTTTGAATTATCTATTATTGTATGAAGTTTTGTCTCTTGGAAACAACCTCTCCACTTCCGACCTCCGAGTAGGTGTAGGGGGGATTTTATTGTGTTTGTTTTTGTTGTAGAATTGTGTATGATGTTGGCTAATTATCGAGTTTTTGCTTGTATGTGTGATTGTGTGTGTAAAAAGTCTTAAACTAGTACTCCATGTCTCAAATGCTAGAAGCTTTTTCTTCAAACCTAATCTGTTAAAGGAGTGTTTGGAACTTGTAATATGTTCGGGAACGAAAACCAGGAATTTTTTCAAGAAAAGGAAATATGTGGAATGCTAAGGCACTGGTTCAAACACAATAAAATTTTATTTAATACTTGTTCAAGTTCATTTTATTATCTGTCTCTTTTAAATATAGACAGTTACGACAAAAAAAGTCGATAATTTTCAATCATAGTTCACTTTCCGTTTACATTTTATGAGGTAAAACCAAAGATGAGAAAGCAACTTTCTTTACTATATATGTTTCCTTTATTTGGCATTTTTTGGGATCCCAACAATCCCTAAAACTTTAAAATGTTATGTTCTGCATTGTTCCAAGACTGGGAAAAAGGTAAATTACCCAAAGTTCATTCTTCCAAGGTTGTGTAAATGACAAGAACGAAAGCTGATAGATTTTCTTTACTCTGGTAATAATAGCCAAATCCTCATATATTACATCTTGTTCTTTTCCCCTGAAATTCAAATGACAGAAACTGTGTATTTCATATAGGTTCTTTATTTGTTATGATCTAAATAGGAGGAAGTTCTGAGCAAGACACAGGCTTTTGAAAAACTGGAATCTGAAGCTGAAAAATGTTTAGCTCAAAGTGAGAGACTTGCCAAAGAGAAGGAAGAATTTGAAGCCGGATTATATACAAAGGTTTGTGTAACTCTACTTCATTGGGGCTTCACGGGTTAGCACACGTCTTGTCTTTTTAGACTAAGTCCCACCATAAGCCCGCCGCACCTTTAAAACAAATTTCTTTTCGGTTTCATGGTTTAGTGTATGCTCAATGACCTGACCCATAGCCATGATAGTGGGGCATCCTATGAAAACCTGTGAAAAACACAAACCAGTAGATGCATATGAAATTTGATTCATTAAACAACCAGCAATTCTTAGCTTGGGTCTGAATGGATATCTCTTCCTCTCCCTGTTTGTTCCCAGTTTCTTGGAGTGTTGAATTCGAAAAAAGCAAAGCTAAGAGAGCTGCGCGATAGACTTCCAAATGAAGCAACTGGTAACAAGCGAGTGCAAGAAGAGGAGGAAGAAGGGTCGAGTGACAGAACCCAGACGTCTGACGAGGAATAACAGAGTAAGAAGTACAAACTACATTTTCAGGGCTGTAAAATTAGAATAGAGCTCTTTTGCCACCAAGAGCCAGAGCTGTAATACGACACCGGTCCATTTGAGTTTTGTTCGATTTCGAAGTGGTTTTTATTCTCTAACCCCACCTCCAGCCTCCCATTTGGGTGACAATCCATTACCAAGTACATAATTTTTATCACTTTCCGTTGATTTCAAAATAAAATTTCACACTTCTTACACATTGGGGTATGTTGTTTTAGAAAAAATGTGGTTCACAAATCACAACATTCTTCCCCACTAAACAAATTTCAATCATATTTTTTTTAAAAAAAATATATTAAATTTTGTGAGGTGGAAGTATAAATTTAGGTGAGGAGTATTAACGTCAAACCATGAGTTGAAAAGTTTCTTCATAAATCATGTACGAGTAACTCTAAGTCAAAGTGTCATTTACAATATAATTAAAAGTTGTATTCCTACTTATGAGGTACATAACATTATCATTTTCGTTTCATTTCAATAATTTTGTTTTGGAAAAATTATCCAAAATAATTTCAACTTTACCTGGTCTTTCAAAAATAATCTCACCTTTTAGCGTGATGCATAATAATCTGAACTTTACTGAATTTTGCGAGTTTTGAATTGGGTCGCCGTTAAGTTTCTAACGGAGGGTTAACGGAAATGCCTGTTTTGCGCAATAAAATAAAAGTTGAGATTATTTTTGATGAATTTTTATTTTTTTATTTTTGTTTTGAATTTTTCATTAAATTTTTAAAATTACTTTCTACCTCCATCATTTCTTTATCCTTTTTTAAAGATTAGTCTTAAAAAAAAAAGAGAAATGTAACTAAAATGATACAAAAATAATACAATAAATAAGGCAATCAATAGAAACTAACTTGAAATTAATAATAAATAAAATAAAAATATACGGAGTGGTGGGTTTTAATATTTTACGCACTATACAAAGTATTAACGTATCACTTCTTATTTTTTAGAAAAAATTATCTAGAATAATTCCAACTTTACCGGACGGCTTGTTCTTTTAAAAAATAACTTAAATAAGTAGTACATTAAGACTCTGTATAGTATGTAAAATGTTAAAACCCACCACTCCGTATATATTTATTTATTTCTTACCATTTTCAGTTTAATTTCTATTGATTACATTATTTATTTCATTAAGTTTGTATGGTTTTAGTTATTTTTCTCATTTTCATTGTTTTTTATATCTATTTTTTTATTTTTTCTAAGGTATGAATAATCTTTAAAAAAGAAAAAGAAATGGAGGCAGAAAGTAATTCCAAAAATTTAAATAAAAATTTCAAAAAAAAATTAAAAAAACAAAAATTCATCAAAAATAATCCCAACTTTTATTTTGTTGCGCAAAATAGACATTTCCGTCAACCCTCCGTTAGAAACTTAACGGCGACCCAAAACTCGCAAATTTCAATAAAGTTGGGATTATTATGCATCACAGTGAAAGGTGGGTTATTTTTGAAAGACTAGGTAAAGTTGGAATTATTTTAGGTAATTTTTCCTTTTTTTGAAAACATTTTTATAAATTTTAATTAAACTTATAACAATCTCTTACCGTACCTAAGTTCAATCACTTCAAGTTTAATTGAGTTTTCTATATGTAAATGCTTGTTCATCGTATCAACCAAGTGACCAACCAATGAATTGATCAGAACTTTATAATCCATAAAACGTGTTGTTGACTTTAATCAGCAGTAGACAATGTCAAAGTCCTTCAAACGTGTTGTTGTAAATGAACATGCATGATGAATGCATGTCAACACATTTTTTTGAAAATTGTTTATTTATATATAGTTTGGAAAATTATAAAAATATATTCCGTAATTCAATTTTAAGTTTAGCATATTATATTATATAATTCGTGGATTATAAAAAAATTTGATATAATCTTTTTAAATTTTAATTGAGCAATGTTTGAGTCACACAAAAAATGAAATGTTTAAATATGTGAGCTAGGTCATAGGGGTTAATATAACTTTTATGAGTCTAATGCGAAGTAGGAGTACAATTTTGGCCTTGTTTTAAAACAACAATTTTAGTTTGCATTAATGCCTTGTATCATTTTTAATGATGCATATTAATTTTGAAAATGTTAAATCTAAACTTTGAGATTAGATAGTCTTCAAACAACGATAAAGCTAAATATTAAACCAAAATGATCCCGTGATTGTTCTTGATTATGACACTAATATTTTCTGGTGTTTGAAAAGCATGTGTCACTCTAAATATCTATATTTCGGCATTTTGAATACGTTATATACTTCTTCCGTCCCGTAATAATGTTCCACAATTTCTTTTTCATCTGTCCCTAAATAAGGTTCCATTTTTTATATTAGACAAACTATCTATGGCTTGCATCATTTTCTTCTTCCCTGCACCACTTCCAACCGTACAATTTTACTTTTTTTTTAATTTATATGTCTGATAAATTATGGAACATTAAAATGAATCGGAAGGAGTAATATTTTTACATTGTGTTTGGTTCATGTAATTCCAAAGGAAAACAAAATAAAAATGTTTTCTCTTCTTTTACTCACCAAAATAGAAGGAATATTGTTTTTCTATTCTTAGTTTATTTCTTTCTCTAGTTTCTCTTCCTTTCACTTTTTTCTTTTCATTTTTAATCAAACAAGAAAAATTATTTTTTTCTCATTTCTTACAAATTCCTTGAACCAAATGTAGATTTAAAGTTTATATTTCTCTAATTTAAAAATAAATCAAATGCTAAAATTAATTAAAGAATGAGCTCCATCACCGAGGGTCCGCTCAGACTCGCCGGACGGCCACTGAGATGAGATAAATTAGATTCTGATTGTAGATTGGTGGCAAAATGTAAAGTATGCACTTGTTATTTGCAGAAATCATATGTTTAGCATAGTTACCTCACAGGATAATTGCTAGAAATCAAACTCAAGTTTTACATTTTTAGCGCTTTTTGCTTTGCATGCAGAAAGCCACTAGCCAAAGTTAATTAAGAACATTATTCCCATGGTACTTTTTTGTTAAGTGATTTTTTACTTCATCTGTTCTAAAATTAATTTTCCAGTTTGACTTTTGCAGTTAAACATTTCAAATTTTGACCGTATATTACGGAAAAAATATATTGAATTTTTATATAAATTTATTATCAATAGATTCATTTTGAAACATAGTTTTGAAATATATTATTTTTGTAATATATATTAATATAAAAATGGAGATATTAATGATCAAAGTATCGTATTAAAAATTGTAAAAAATCAAATGAGAAAGTTAATTTTAAGACGAATACTATTCTTTGCAAAAGAACTCATATATACTTTCCCCATATATACTTTCCCTCTCTTCCCTGCACAATTTTTTATGTTTATTTCTATTTCAAATTCGGTTCATCCTCATCTTCAACCTGAAAATTCCCTCCGTTTTTTTCCCAATTAAAAAAATGACATCCTCCATATATACTCCCTCGGTTCTTTTTGTTTTTCTGGCGATTTTCAATGGCCTCACAGCCGCCCAAATATGTTCTCAGACCGCCGGAAACTTCACGGCCAACGGCACCTACGCCGGGAACCGAGCTCGCCTGTTCTCCTCCTTCTCCTCCAACCTCTCCTCAACCTATGGCTTCTTCATGAACACCACAGTCGGCCACGGCGCCGACAAAATTTACGGATCTGCCCTTTGCAGGGCCGATTCGACCCGCGAGACCTGCAACAAATGCGTCAATACTGGAATCAAACAGCTCACAGACGGTTGCCCCAACCAAATCGAAGCAATCAATTGGGCGTGGGAGAGCTCCTTCCCGTGCATCGTTAGGTATTCGAACCGTTCCTTTTTCGGGAAATTGGAGCTTTCTCCCAGGCCGCCGATACTGGTCAATACCGGCGAATTCGCATCGGACGAGTTGGAACGATTCGAATCAGTCTGGAAAAATCACACGACGACCTTAATAGCCAAGGCTTCCGCGGGGACGAAGATCAAGTATGCTTCCGGAGATGCGAATTTGAAGAGTTTCGAGAAGATTTACGCTACGGTTCAGTGCACTCCAGATCTATCCCGCTCCGATTGCGATTATTGTTTGTCGCAGATCGTGAGCGCGTTTTGGAACTGTTGCGGTAAGAACAAAGGAGGGTATTATCATAATCCGAACTGTATATTTCGTTGGGATATGTATCCGTTTTATAATTCCTTCACCGATTTCGCTCCGCCCCCGGCGAATCCCCCAGCGACTCTGCTTTCTCCTCCGCCGGCCAATACGACTGATACCGGAAGTAGGACGCCGATCTGCACTTTGTGTTTGCTTTTAGGTCTGTTCTATTAATCCGATCTAACGAATTCGGTATCCGCAGATGGGAAGATCAGTTCTCGGACTGTTCTGTTTATCGCGGTACCTATTGCAGTTGCTTTCTCGGCGGCCGTTGCTGTCGTCGTCATTTTCCGGCGGATGAAGCAAAGGTCCGAATTCCGTAGCAGGTTGGTTGCGGAGGAAAGAAGCAATAGCAGTCGCCGGGCAGAGTGCATGCAGTTCAACCTCGCCGCCATCAGAATCGCAACCAACAACTTCTCCGATCTCAACAAGCTCGGGGAAGGTGGATTCGGCCCTGTTTACAAGGTACTACTACTTCCGGTACTCTTTTTGGCCAAATAGTTGAAGCGGTCTTCTGGTTTGGAAAATGAAAAATGCTAGTGTCCCCACCCCTCCTTGTCCACATAATTGGGCAAGAAAATTTAAAAAAGATAAATAAATAAAAATTAATTAAAAATGAGTAGTGGAGAAGGGTGTGGTGTACAAATGGAGTACATTTTTGGTGTACCCCGCTCTTGGAAAATTGATATACTCATATACCCATATAGGTACCTCATTTATTTTTGAAAGTCTAAAACTTGGAAAATTGATAGTCATATAGGTTATTTTTTGAAGCGGTCTTCCTTTATTTTTTGGTTATTTTCCTTTTTTAATTTTTTTCATCTATTTGTTTCCTTTTGAAATTTCTTTTCTAATTTTTTATAATGTTTTTAAAAATAGAAAAATATTCTAAAAAATACAAAACTTTTTGCGTTGGTATAATAATAAAAAATGAAAAAAATTTAACATGTACTCCATCCATCTTCAAGTAAACATTCTCAATTTTTTGTTTTCTAGATTTTAAAAAAATTTAGGAAGTTAAAAAAGAAATTCAGGAATAAAAATAAAAATATCAAAAAACGAAATGAAAAAAAATCAAACAATACATTAAGGAATTTTCGGAACATCAAAAAAATTCTTAGGATTGGATGTGCAAAAAGGGTATTCATTTTAATTTATTATTTTATTTTATTTCTTATCTAATTCCTCATTTTTTGAAGTTCCCAAAAACAATTTTACTTTTTTATTTGGAAAAAAACTAATTTGAGACGTATAGTTGGAGTATATGTTAATTATTTTTTATATCAAACAAAAATAATTTTAAATTTTTAAGAACATTATAAAAACAATTTTGTAAAGAAATTACAAAACCTTCATAGATAAAAAAGGAAAAAAATAAACGAAAAATGAGATTTGAGGACAGGTGCCCCTACGATTTGGAAAATATGCACCAATGCCCTCCTGTTCGCCGGAAAAATGGCCAAATAGTTGTCGTGCTCTTTCGATTTGGAAAATTGATATAGGTACCTCCTTTATTTTTAAAAGTCTTAAATCTCGTGGTTTCAAGCGTAGTACTCACACTTCCTCTGATTATATTCTAGTCATTTTCAAGCAAAGAGGGGGCATTGTTACCTATTTTCCAAACCACAAGGAACAACAAAACTCATTTCTCAAGTTTCGTTTTTTTTTGTTATTTTCCTTTTATAAAACTTTTTTTCATCTCTTTGTTTCCTTTTGATTTTTTTTGAAATTTATTTTCTAATTTAATTATAATGTTTTAAAAAATACAATTTTTTTTGTGTTTGATATAAAAAAAAAAGGAAAAAATTTAGCATGTACGGATGTACCTTATCTATCTAGAATTTTTAAAAAGTTCGTTTTTTTGTTCTCTAGAATTAAAAAAATTGGGAAGTTCAAAAAAGAAATTCCGGAATAAAAATAAAAACATCGAAAAACAAAAGGAAAAGGATCGAAACATACAAAAATATAATTCTACACAAAAAGGAATTTTTGGAAAGTCTAAGAAAATTCTTAGGATTGAGATGTCCAAAAAAGCACATTCATTTTAATTTTTTCTTTTATTTTATTTCTTATCCTATTCCTCATTTATTGAAGTTCCCAAAAATAATTTTACCTTTTTATTTCGGTTAACAAAAAAATTAATTTGAGACGTATATATGTAATATATATTTATTATTTTTTCTATCAAACAAAAACAATTTTAAATTTTAAGAACATTATAAAAAACCATTTTGAAAAGATATTAAAAAACCTTCATAGATAAAAAAAGGAAAAAAATAAAAAAATAAATGGAAAAAGAGAAATGAGCATTGGTGCCCCTACGTTTTGGAAAATAGGCACCAATGCCCTCCTCTTTGTCGGAAAAATAAAAAATAATTAGAGTGGTTGCCGGTGCAACATTTTTGAACCTCTGGGATTTTAACTTTTGAAGATAAGGGATTATTAATGTCAATTTTTCAAGCCACATGGAATGCTAGAGTTATTTGACCCTTTTTTACTCCCTAATTTTCTAGTCAAATACTCATTCCATCCGTTCAAAAATAAAGTTTGTTTTCACTATTCGGTGGGGGGATTGACTCGGGCAATATGTGAGGTGAGATTGAATGGGAGTAGTATGATTTTGGGTTTTCAATTTTTGATGAGCTTGACCACTTTTTCAGGTAAAGTTTGTTGGTGATTTTAATGTCATCAGTTTATTTTGTGTGATTGGATTTACTTAGATCGGACAAGAATTTAAATAGACGTTGTCAAACGAGTTAGGAGGCGTGGAGTGCATGCTCGTTCAACGATATTACAAATTCACAGCGGGGATCCAGGGGCGGCAGCCCACCGGTAGCGGGATCCAAGGGGCGGCAGCCCCTGGCAGGGTCCAAGGGGCAGAGCCCCTGACCGGGGTCGAAAATCCTTAAGATTTTTGTGATCGGAGTCCAAAATGGTAAAGGACTCAAACGAGTGGATAACGTTGAAATTTACTCCAAAAACCACAGGATCTTCTCGCCTTTCTTCTTCTAACCTAAAAGTTTAAGTCAATTGATAGTGTTTCACCTTTTTTAATATGAGAGTAGTATTATTTTGATTTTTCCTATGTGGGATAGACCCAACACACGGACTCCATCATATTCATATGACAAATCATATGGAGTATCTATGTTTGGAATATATTTTCATTGATCATTTGATAATATCAATAAAATGTGTATATACTCCGGAAGAACATCTTCATATCCCAAGTGTCTAGAACATCTGTATGAACATCTTCATGATACGGACTGATTTCATTGTCCCACACCGGTTAAATGGGGAACTTGGTGATGGGTTTATATAACCAAAGGTTCTCCCACTTTAACAGCTAGCTTTTAGGGTGTGGCTCTCCCTTGTGTTGTATCAATGGTATCAGAGCCAACTCGGAGTGGTGGCCTACAGAGTGGCGGCCCATGGAGTGGTGGCATGGTGAAACCAGCCGTGACCAACGAGGACGTTGGGCCTTATGGGGGGTCGAATGATACGGACTGATTTCATTGTCCCACACCGGTTAAATGGGGAACTTGGTGATGGGTTTATATAGCCAAGGGTTCTCCCACCTTAACAGCTAGCTGTTAGGGTGTGGCTCTCCCTTGTGTTGTATCACTTCATACTCCGTAACTATGTTCATATATATGCACATCTTCATCTTGTTAACTACGAGTATTTAGTTAGTGAGATTTAGTTATGAGACGGAGTTAAAGTATATGGCTACAAGATGGGTATTAACGAAGTAGTTAGTGCCTTTTAAAAATCATTGTGCGTGGGATTTAGGGTGTGCTCTCAGATGGGGAGGTCATAGCTGTCAAGAGATTGTCCAAAAACTCGAAACAAGGAGAGATTGAATTCAAGAATGAGGTGATTTGTGTTGCAAGGCTACAGCATAGGAATTTGGTCAGACTCCTTGGCTTTTGTGTGCAAGGAATTGAAAGGCTTCTCATTTATGAGTTCTTGCCCAAATCAAGCCTCGACCACTTGGTATTTGGTTAGTATACTTTTAGATCTCAATATGCACATTTGAAGCCATTGTTTATATAAGCTAAATAAATTGATAAACACTTGAAATTGCATTTAAGTGAAGCAGAAGGTCAAAAATTGTTCTCAAACACAATCCCATGTGTTTTCTTAGTGTTTAAAACCACTAATTTAAAGACAACATGTCTACACCCTTATCCATATGTGTGCAGATGCAAACAAGCGTGGAATGTTGGACTGGGAGACACGCCGGAGCATCATTGCAGGAATAGCCCGGGGGCTTCTTTACCTTCACGAAGATTCCCAACTTCGGATTGTTCACCGCGACCTCAAGGCCAGTAATGTCCTCTTGGACGAGAAAATGAATCCGAAAATCTCAGATTTCGGAATGGCAAAGTTGTTCGAATCAGAGGATCAAACAAGAGACACCACTAGCAGGATCGTCGGCACCTAGTAAGTACAGTACATTACTACAGAGTGCTCAAAGCAGTAGTAGTAATATTTTATATGTGAGGCCTTTTACCACATAGTATGTGAACATATAATAATGGATAAAGTCATAAAAATGCAGTGGGTACATGGCACCGGAATATGCAATCCACGGCCGATTCTCGACCAAATCTGACGTTTACAGCTTTGGTGTGTTGTTGCTCGAAATAATCACCGGTGAAACCATTAGGAGATTCCGTGGAGGGGCAGATGAACAAGACCTTGTTAATTATGTAAGCTCAGCTAACAGGCTAACTTTTTTAGTGCAGCTAACAACCTATTAAATATTCCCACTTTAAGAAAAAAATTAGTCACATTTTCCATTTTCCACAAGTCAATATGGGAAGGAGAGAGTATGCACATTATTATATGGAGTATTAAATAAAAGGAAATAGACTAAATTAGGAGTAAAACATTGAAAAAGTACCAAAATAAGATCTCCGTGTTTTTATTTCCAAAATGAGAGTTAGAATGGCAATAATATCAACACTTAATACCAAAAAACACTATAGAAAACGCCAATATAAAATGCCACACTGTTAAGTGCAAACTTCGATTATGGAGTTGAAAGATAGAGTTCATATTTTTATATTTTTTACGCGTATTTTGGGTGATTTCTTGTAAGTCAATGTTTTGTTTTTGCAGGCATGGTCAATGTGGAGTAAAGGGACAGCGTTGGAACTCATTGATCCCACAATGCCAGTCACTGGTTCATCCAGCGACGTAACGAGGTGCATCCATGTTGCATTGTTGTGTGTGCAAGAAAACGCGGAGAACAGACCGACCATGGCTTCGGTTGTTCTCATGCTCAGCAGCAGCTCTCTCGTCCTCTCGAGACCGGCAAGACCGGCTTACACCCTTCACTCCACGACCCGTCAACACACGTCATCGTCTTCGTCGTCTTCTTCCCATACCTCTCACTCTGCTTCTTCCAGAAGTAGTGGCCATGGCCAGGATGGTGACAAGAAGAGTTTTAGGAATCAAGTTTCTATATCAGAGTTTGAACCCAGATAGTTTGATTTTCAATCATAATAACTCTTCCCCAAAATTTAAGCTTCAGTTTAGTCTTTTAGACTATGTTTATTATTTGGGACAACTTGCTAAACTTTATCAAACGGGAACCATTATGGAGTCGGGGCGAGCACGGCCCGGATTGGGTCGATTTTCATAGGACCTGGCCCTAACCCGATTTGTTTAAAGAATAAAAAAGCCGAGACGGGTTGTTAGAAAAATATTTAGATTCGATCCTAACCTGATTTGTTTCAAATTGTCCATAGGTCCATGAGTTTTTTTCCTATTAAATGCATCACAAACAAATACAAAATTTACATGAGAATAGTCAATAGAATAATACTTTCTTAAAGTAATCCATGAATTTTAATAAACAAAATAAAAATAAATTATACTCCTTTCGTCCAACAATAATATTCTCGTTGTGCATTACAATGTTTTGTTGAAGTTATTTTTATATTATTTTATATGAAAAATGATATAGAATTAAAAGAATAAAAATTGTATATTTAAAAACTACATGAAAAGATCTACTTTCTCCGTTCCAAATTATAATGCATGTTCACTATTCACAGGGTCAAACTTCGTTCATTTTGTTTCTCTATTTTCGTTAGCAATTTGATAAAATAAAGTACTATTGTCACTATTAATTTTGTAAATCTTTTGATGTAGTATTTTAATATGTAATTTTTATTTTTTAACTATATACCATTTGTCATATAAAATGATTTGAAAATAGTTTCAGTCAAACAATACAAACCGAAACAGCGATTATAAAATGGGACGGAAGGAGTACAAAATTATATGTGACATGACTATACTCCTATTATTTTATCAAATGGGCAACGAAAATAACTAACAAAGTAAATAAAATTTGACCTTGTAAATGATGAACGTGAACATTATATTATTGTTGGATGGAGGGAGTAATATTCAACCAATAAACAATTTTCACCAATTGAAGTTATAAAACATATAAGAAAAAATATGATTGACGCCTAAAATTTTACTAATTATGTTATTTATATATTTTTATAAATAGAATATTGAATATACCATATAGAATTTATTAATTAATACAATTTGATGAAAATATATACTTCAATTCCAACCCACGATTCCAAGACCGTTTGCCCACCCCTCTCATAGAGTGTCAATCTGCTCTTTAACACAATCTCTAGCATGTCACGGGTGTATGCCAACATATATTGATCTCATTAAATCAGTTGGATTGAAATCGCATTGGAATCATGAGATTGGTCTCCTCAACCCAACTGCTCTATCGGACCATTTAAATACTTTATATTCGATTCTAAACATAGAGATTAGAGCCGTTACAAAAAAATCGAGTGTAATCTAGAATAAATTTCCGTCAAAAATGCATTTGGGTTTAGTAGTCAAACAGTCAAAAATGGCTGCTCCTCCACTTACCAAACACGGCCGTGGTGTTTGGGAAACAGCTGTTTGCCGTTAGCCATTTTAAGCATTTTGAATTATTTGAAATAGGGTTATTATTTGCCGTGTAAATTGTCAACAGGCTCATTATAATCCATGTCAACGGGTTAACAGTTAAATATTCATATACAAAGTATTTTATGAATATTGAAGAGACCAAATGCATGGGATAAAGAATGGGCCTCAAGAATGAGGGTCGCTTATGGTTACTGAGAGAAGGTAAACCAAATTTTAATCGCAGATTTGGTGAAATATAGTAAAGTCTGCCATCGGTACTTGCAGAGATCTTATATTTTTAAATATTTAGTAAAGGCATGAACCGACAACACAAGAATAAAGAAAGAAATCACTTGTGAAATAAATCACGAGACCAACATTTTTTAAAAAAAATTTACGTCCAAATGGGTGGTGTTAAAGATTAACTGGGGTAAACCGTCGCAGATGAGCGGTGCATGCCCCATTACGCACGGTCTTAGAAACGGTAGATAACAGGTTAGGTTTATTTAAGAAGAGAGAGACAAGATCGATCATTTGAAGATATTACATTTGTATAAAAAAGAAAAGTAAATAAAAATAATAAAATGACGCAAAAATGAAAAAATAGCCAAAAAAGAATGGGATAGTAAGGGATATGCTAGGGGTACACCAAAAAGTGTACCCCAAATGTACACCACCCTCCTACTAACCATTCATTTTATTTTGTTTTTATTTTTAAATTTTTTTGAAAATTTCTTGCCTTTTTTGTGTGGTGATGGAGGGGGTGGGGATGTTTGGGGTACACTTTTGGTGTACCCCTAGCATTTTCCGGGATAGTAAACAGCTACTCCCTCTGTCCACAAATAAACTTCTTGTTGCGCGTTACGATGTTTGACTGAAGATATTTTCAAATCATTTTATATGAAAAATAGTATAAAATCTAAAAATAAGAAATTAAATATTAAAAAAGATCTATAAAACTAGATTTGACATGACTATATTATTTTATCAAATGAGAGACGAAAATAGAATAACAAAGAGAATAAAGTTTGACTTTGTAAATAATAAACAGGAAGTTTATTTGTGGACGGGATACCTTATTAGTCTATGCTAAATATTCTTGCAAAACAACTCGTTTTAGTGCGTAAACTTTCTACGCTTACTATTTTTGTTTTAAATTCGGTTCATCTTCATCTCGGGTCTATTTGATTGAAAATTCCCTCCTTTTTTCCTATACAAAAATATGAAATCCTCCTCCGTATATACTCCCTCTGTTCTTTTTGCTTTACTGGCGATCTTCTTCAATGGCCACACAGCTGCCCAGATCTGTTCTCCGACCGCCGGAAACTTCACGGCCAACGGCACCTACGCCGGGAACCGAGCTCGCCTCTTCTCCTCCTTCTCCTCCAACCTCTCCTCAACCTACGGCTTCTTCATGAACACCACAGTCGGCCATGGCGCCGACAGGATTTACGGAATCGCCCTCTGCAGGGCCGATTCGCCCCGCGAAACCTGCAACGAATGCATCAATTCTGGAATTAAAGAGCTCGCGGCCAGTTGCCCCAACCAAATCGAAGCAATCAATTGGGCGTGGGTGAGCCCCTTCTCGTGCTTCGTTAGGTATTCGAACCGTTCCCTTTCCGGGAAATCGGAGCTTTCTCCGAGTGAAGAGTTCGCAAATTCCGGCGTATTCACGTCTGATGAGACGGATCGGATTAAACCGTTATGGGAGAATCACATCTCGAGCTTGATCGCCGCGGCCTCCATGGGGACGAAGATCAAGTACGCTTCTGGAGAGAGGAATTTCAGTGGTTTGATGAAGATATACGCCTTGGTTCAATGCACTCCAGATCTATCTCGACGCGATTGCGAGAGTTGTTTGATACAAACCGTGATCGCGTTTCAGAGCTGTTGCGGTAAAAACCATGGAGGATCTTCTTATACTCCCAGCTGTATTTTCCGTTGGGATCTGTATCCGTTTTATAATAATAATAGTTTCTTCACCGGATCCTCTCCGCCTCCGGCGAATCTACCTTTTCATCCACCGGCCAATGCAGAGACTACTACCGGAAGTACGAACGGGAAGACGATCTCCAATTTGTGTTCAATTTTAGTGCCGGTTTATGTGTTTATTAACCCGATCCACCGAATTTTGTATCCGCAGATGGGAGGAGGATAAGTTCTCGGACGGTTGCGATTATATCGGCACCTATCGCAGTTGCTTTCTCGGGGGTGCTCGTTGCTGTCGTCATTTTCCGGCGGATGACGAAAAGGTCGGGATTCCATGGCCGGTTGGTTGCGGAGGAAAGAGGCAACAGAGAGTGCATGCAATTCAAGCTCGCCACCGTCAGAATCGCCACTAACAACTTCTCCGATCTCAGCAAGCTCGGGCAAGGTGGATTTGGTTCCGTTTACAAGGTACTCTTCTAGTCTTCTTCTCCTCCCTTTTTACACATTTTCATTGATATTTCAATTAAAATAAAATAAAAAATCACTATAATCAAATCATCATCATTTGTTTGAAAAAAATATTTGCTTCACTTTTTTAAATACACAGTATACTTCCTCCATCCCATTGAATTTTTCAAGACCAAATCTTATGTATTTCGTTTCTTTATTTTCGTTACTTATTTTAAAAAAATAAAATAACTTTGTAATACTTTAATTTTGATGTGGTTTTTAAATATTTAATTTTATTTTTGAATCTTACACCTATAATTAAATAAATTAAATTGAAAATAAAGCTGGTTAATATTATAAGGTAGATTAAATTGAAAATAAAGCTGGTTAATATCATAAAATAAAGCTGTTGAGCCATGTGACGAGGTGACATCCTCTCGTCTTGTAGCGTTTGTCTTTTCCCAAGATTGGCAATCACCATGTTCTGTCAGTGTTTAGACGCATTCGTCGGTGCAAAGGATCTGATTCCTCCCTAACGCTACCCGCCAACTGAAAATATGTGCGAGCTTTGATAAAACACTCGGGTGTATCTTTTGGGAAGATCCACCCGATTGATTAATAGATTCTCCCTCATTGATATGCTTTCGGGATGATGATATCAAGTGTTCGAAATCCACTCGGGTGGTCTTGGCCTACTCGGTTGACTTCTTCCCATTAGTTTGGTTTCACCCCCCTTAGACGTACTTTAGTCAACCCGGTTGACAAGTGTAGCCTGTGACCCGGTTCATCTACACCCGCCAGACTAAGAATAATATTTACAATAATATCATATGTCCAAATTTACAATAATACTGCCTTCGTTCTAAAACGTTATTCCTAGTTACCGGCCAAACTTTAAGCACTTTCGTAATCTATTTTCGTTAGTTATTTGATAAAATAATATAGTCTTGTCACCTCTTGTTTGGTAGAACTTTTGATATATATATATATATATATATATATATATATATATATATATATATATATATATTATTTTTAATTTTGCAACTACAATCAAATAAATTGAATGAAAAATAAATTTAGTCAAAGCTCGTGAACAGAAACGGAAAGAATGTTTTAGAATGGAAGGAGTATCCTACGCCCAAATTTGTAACATATTACCTCAAACAAATACAAAGATGAATTCATTTTTTATTATCTAAAATTAGTTTTTTAAATATTTATTTGGGTGATTTATTAATTGAGTGATTTGGATTTTCTAACACTTTATTTTTTCGAAACATTTTCAATTTCTTTTATTTTTTTTAACTCCTTACAAAATCTTCCAACTTCTTTTGATTTTTTCTAACACTCAACTCTGTTTTAACAATCCAAACAGAGTCTAAATTAAACAAATGCTTAAAATAATTCAATGGCTAGGATCAATAGTGTACAAATGGGGTACACCAAACACGTAGTGCCACTAAGGTTTGAGTGAGTTTGACCCATTCGATTTAACGCTAAAAAAAGTCAAATGACATGTCTAAAGTTAAGTTCCACACTCCCACCCATTGAACACAAAAAAATTGTAATATTTTTTGTCAATGAAAATCACCACACTGCCATCACACTAGCATAAAATTTCAGTGTATGTCTTTGAAGTACAAAATAGAATACAAGGTTTTGTCTACTAGCAAGATCTAATTGATGTTATCTACACATTATCTACGACGTTGTTTTGGGCAAGGGCTAAAAGCATTGTTGTCATTTTCAATTCTTAACCGCAACCGCCTCCGGATCTTTGCCCTCCGGTTTCTGCCAATCCGGGTAGTTCAATTGACCGCCCTTCCAGAGTTCCAGGAGGACAATAAATCCGTAATTCATCGTCCTCCTCCCTTCCTCTGCTGTATATTCTACTCCGTATATGCTAAATTTGATCATCAATAAAAATAAACATTATGATCTTCTCTATACAAAAATCTTTTCATTACATTGCAAAAGAAACTTTCAAAAAACTATACAGTATTACATAGATTTAATTATTTTATCATAGTTTGTCTCATTTGACCAAAAAATGACAACCCATTATAAATATGAAGTACATATATATTTCCTCTATCCAAATTTAAATCGCTTCTTACAGTTTGCAATATTTGACCGAAGTTATTTTTAATACTATCTCTGTTTTTGAGTATTTGTCCAATTTTGACTTTTTATCGTCAAGCATTTTCGACATTTGACCTTTAGTTAAGAATGATGATAGCCGCACCCGCTTAAACACTAAATACACTAGTCAACTAAATGCACCCGCATATATTATTATGTTATTATTCAAAAAAGTTATACTCCGTATAACTTTATTGTGTTAAAAAACATTATAAAAAAAGTTTAAAATATTCATCATTTATTTCATTTTATTACTTTTCAAATAAAATAATATAGATTACTTTTAATTTGAATTATAAAATTTTGGCCCCTCTTCTTTTAATTTTTCATTAATTAAAATAACTTTTATTGTTAATATATTGAATGACTATTGATTTTTTTATAAAATCTTCTATTTTCTAAGTATTATACAAATATGTATTTCACCATTTTTTAATCTGCATAATTATTTTATTATTTTAAAAAAATGGTCATATAAATTTTACTTAAAAAATTCCACGGAGTATAATCCTTAAAATTATTCACCATTATTCTCAGTTATTTATTTTCAAGAGCGAAAATCTATATAGATGTTAATAAATGTGAATTATTATTAAAACTACAACTTTTATTTTAAAAAGATATCATATTAGATATATAAAATACACCGTATTTAGTAGAATAAAAACAGATTATTATTAAACTATTACGGAGAATTATATTATGATTCAAACTAGAACTTCTATCAAAATCTTAAAATTTAAAAATCTGGTATATGAGTTCTGGATTAAAAATATTTTTTTTGAATTAGTATTAAAAATAAATTTGAAACTATTAATGGAGTGAAGTTAGTGTTTAGATGGGGTGTGACTATCACCACCATTTAATTAAATAAAATTTATAACATATATAGATTAGATAAAACAATATTGTGAAAATATTACTCAGAACAAATCTAATAATAGTATTTTTGTAATAATATATATATAATATAAATTTATTTAATTAGTTTTAAAAATTTGTCAATTTTGATTGCAAAAGGTCAAAATTGGACAAGTAATCAAGGAAGAAGGTAGTATAATTTATTTGAGAATTGGAGCAAGATTAAAAAAATAAAAATACATATTAAAAAAACTACATCAAAAACAAAACAAAAAAATGTGACATAATTATATTATTTTATCAAATGAGTAACGAAAATAGGAAATGAAAGTAAATAAAATTTGATCTCATGATAAGAGACAAATTCTATGTTAGACCTAAGGTCTACGATATTCCTACATATGAGAAAATAAACATTTTTTACTACTTAAATAAGTATTTCTTTTTTATAAAATAAAAAAGATTTCTTTTTTATAAAATAAAAAAGATTTCTTTTTCTGAGAATGTCCACAAAATTTGTCAGCACCCAAGGTGCAAGCAGTCATGATAGTGAAGAGACAACTTACTTTAGGATGAGGTGAGTATTAAAGTAGTCATTTAAAAAAATGTGCATGGAATTTAGGGTGTGCTCTCAGATGGCCAGGCCATAGCTGTGAAGAGATTATCCACAAATTCGCAACAAGGAGAAGTTGAATTCAAGAATGAGGTGATTTGTGTTGCAAGGCTACAACACAGGAATTTGGTCAGACTCCTTGGCTTTTGTGTGCAAGGAACTGAAAGGCTTCTCATTTATGAGTTCTTGCCCGAATCAAGTCTCGACCACTTGGTATTTGGTTAGTATATATCCTTTTCTGAAATATTCGTTTCAGATTGACTTAGCTCCAAGGTGGTTAAATGCTGATATTCTTCATATCCATTACACACCCCATTAGTTCTTGTGTTTCAAAACTATTGACTGTATAATACTCCATAGATGCAAGCAAGCGTGGAAGGTTGGATTGGGAGACGCGCCGGAAGATCATTGTAGGAATAGCACGAGGGCTTCTTTACCTTCACCAGGATTCTCAGTTTCGGATCGTTCACCGCGATCTCAAGGCCAGTAATGTTCTATTGGATGAGGATATGAATCCTAAAATCTCAGATTTCGGAATGGCAAAGTTGTTCGAATCAAACGACCAAACAAGAGACACCACTAGCAGGATCGTTGGCACCTAGTAAGTATAGTTACATTTATATGTTTTCCCTTCCATTTTATCTTTGCTGTGTGTCTGGCCTTTCTTTTTACCATGTGAATGAATAAAAATGTATAAAACTGCAGTGGCTATATGGCACCGGAATATGCAATCCACGGTCGATTCTCAACCAAATCAGACGTTTACAGCTTTGGTGTGCTGTTGCTCGAAATAATCACAGGTGAAACAATTAGGATTTTCCGTGGAGGCGAAGACGAACAAGATCTTGTTAATTATGTAAGCCCAGCTAGCTAATAACCTACCTGCTGAATTATTTTAGAGCCCATATTGGATGAGCACAGAAGAAATCTAAATATGGCTTGATTTTTGAGTGTTTGATGAAATCTAAATATGGCTTGATTTTTGATATCTTTTGATTTTGGAAGATATCAAATCAGGTGTTTTGATATCTTAGCTTAGCTTCCGCAACTGCTTTTCAGAGGTTCACCTTCGTTTTTCAATAACAACCGTCATTTCAAATTTCTTCAAACACTTTTATTTCAGAATGTTGGGAATAAACGCACGCGGAAACAACACACAATCACGAATCAACTGCAGAAAAATAAATGACACAAGATTTAACGTGGTTCGGCCGCCAACTGCAACCTACGTCCACACGGGGCAACTAGGAGGATTTTATTATTTTTGTTGCACACCATTACAAGCACATTAGCATCTCTTAAATAGAGATTAGTTAGGGAGACAATGATTAAGCCGTAAGCTTCTAGGTAGCTTCCTGCCAATTTCCTGTTAGCTTCCACCTAGCTTCCNCCTTGGCTGAAGTAAAACCTGTGCTCCCACTGCCACAGATACCTCTGACTGGCCTCATTGAACCTTTCCTCGCTCGTTCATCCTGAGTCTGACCTGTGGCTCTGGGTTTCTTTCTTGCATAGAAAACCTTCTTCTGCCCACGAGACTCTGTGAACCGGACTTCGTTTTTCTTCTGAATTGGGACGGTCACTCCCTCAGATGGTAACTCGACCATATACAACGAACCTCTCTTCCTTCCACGGGCCATGACAAGATTTCCCTTCACAACCTTCCACTGCCCATTTCCGAACTTCACCTCGTGTCCCTGTTCGTCCAATTGCCTAACAGAAATCAAACTTTTCTTCAAGGCTGGAACCACTCTGACATCCTTTAAAGTCCAGAAACCGACAGGGGTCTTCAACACTATGTCACCCATGCCCGTCACATCAAGAGCTCCGTCGTCTGCTAGTCGTACCTTTCCAAAGTCCCCAACAACTAGATTCTGCAATGCTTCACCGCTGTGGGTAGCATGAAATGAAGCACCAGAATCCATGACCCAGGAATCTACACTGCTCTCCGCACAACAGATAAACAAATCCTCGTCACTCGCGGAGCCTCTAGCAATGTTCACTTGCTTAACCTCTTTCGGGCACTGATTCCTGAAATGCCCCACCTCCTTGCACTTCCAGCATGTTACGCCTGAGCTATCCCGAGTCTTCGATCGACTCCTTTGTCTATTCTTGCTCCCACTACCTCTGTTATTTCCTCTACCTCTGACGATATTTAGTGATTCTTCCGAAGACTCACCAGAACTCCTTCTTCTGACATCTTCGCCAAGAACGAGGTCACGAATCTTCTCAAAAGTGAATCCGTCAGGTCCCGCTGAACTGGTAACTGCTGTAACAGTTCCGGACCAAGTGTCAGGCAATGATGATAACAGTAGTAAAGCTTGAACTTCATCATCGAACTTAATGCCCACTGACAAAAGTCTGGCTAAGATCGAATTCAACTTGTTGATATGCTCGGTAACTGAAGTGCCATTTTTCATCCTTGTGTTCACCAGCTCTCTTATCAGAAAAACTTTGTTCGCTGCAGATGGCTTCTCGTACATGTTAGACAGCGCGTCCATAATTCCCTTCGCTGTCTTCTCCTTCAGAATGTTGAACGCAACATTCTTGGTCAACGAGAGACGGATCACGGACATAGCTTTCCGATCCAAACCTGCCCAATCTGCATCCGACATCTTTTCTGGCTTGTCACCCAATACCACGTCCAAATCTTTCTGAACCAGCAAATCTTCAATTTGCATTTTCCACCAACTGAAATCTGTACCATCGAACTTCTCAATTCGGAACTTCCCGTCTTCTGCCATCTCAAACGACTAGACGAAATACCTGGTACAACTAATTTCAGATCTTGGTATTTTTTTTTCTCGTCAGAAAAACAGGTCCACCACTTCAATCAATCAAGCCCAAAACCAACCTACCAAAAAAAATGCTACGGCCCAAAAACAATGGAGAAAGGCTGACCAGTGACCACTGCCTTTTCTCTTTTTGCAACCGGCTGGCCCTTTTTTTTTCTTCGCACCAGCCCCCCAAAATTTCAGCTCCTTGGATCGGAGGCTTCAATTGGTCAAGCAGGAGAAGATGGCAGCGGTCTCTACGCGGCGGCAATGGACGGCGGCAGCTCAAAGTTTGGATGGCGGTGACGGCTCGCAGCTGCGATCTCGACGAACGGTTCCTGACGGCGGAGACGATCTGATCTGACGGCGGCGGCGCAATCTGAAACGGCTTCTCAACCTGGCGGCGGCGCAATCTGAAACGGCTTCTCAACCTGGCGGCGGCTCTGCGGCTGGACTGCCTTCTGCACGGCCTCGCAATCCAAGAGGTCGACAACGGCGCTATAAGGGATGCAGCGGCGGCTCGCTAATGGTGGCGAACACCTGTGCAGATCTCCCCCGAACTAACGGCTTCTCCTCTGCTGCACAACTCCGAACCAGCGGCTGTGGTTCACTCTTCAGATCCGGTTGCGGCCCTTCACAACAGCGACGGCTCTTCAACGCGGCGGCGCGATCTGAACGGCGGGGTGACGGTGGCAGCAACTCCTTCGCTTGCTGCGGTCCCCCTCGAACCAGCAACGGCGGCGGTCTGGTTCTGCTCGATTGAAGGCGGCAGCGGTGAGTCTCACGGGACTTACTTCCTGCTGCGGCTCTCCGATTCAAGCGCGGTAGTGCTCCGTGGGAATCAACGGGGATGGTGGTGCTCCGGCGGCAGCGGCCCTCACTCCGGCTCGTGCTGCTGCACACAGTTCTTCTCCAAAGAACCCAGGTGACACTCCTCTGATTAGTTTCTGCTGATCGGATTTTCGGTGTCTTAACGAACCAACGCTCCGATACCACTTGTTGGGAATAAACGCACGCGGAAACAACACACAATCACGAATCAACTGCAGAAAAATAAATGACACAAGATTTAACGTGGTTCGGCCGCCAACTGCAACCTACGTCCACACGGGGCAACTAGGAGGATTTTATTATTTTTGTTGCACACCATTACAAGCACGTTAGCATCTCTTAAATAGAGATTAGTTAGGGAGACAATGATTAAGCCGTAAGCTTTTAGGTAGCTTCCTGCCAATTTCCTGTTAGCTTCCACCTAGCTTCCTGGCTTCACACTCAACACAGAACTCATATCATTTCCTCCGGATTTCATCAAAGTCCATATCATATCAATCATGTTTTCCTCACCAAATGGGTTCTTATTTAGTAACCCATTTCTCCATTCTTTTTAAGAACACACATCAACGCATGCCATTTCTTTTTCCGGGACTGGGGGAGTATGTACACTTTTGTATTCAATCAATGTTTTTTTGCTTTGGTTTTTGCAGGCATGGTCAATGTGGAATAAAGGGGCAGCGTTGGAACTCATTGATCCCACAATGCCATTGGCTGGTTCAACCAGCGACGTAACGAGGTGCATCCATATTGCATTGTTGTGTGTGCAAGAAAACGCGGAGAACAGACCGACCATGGCTTCGGTTGTTCTCATGCTCAGCAGCAGCTCCCTCGCCCTCTCAAGACCGGCAAGGCCGGCGTACACCCTTCACTCCACGACCCATCAATATTCGTCATTGTCTCCGTTGTCTTCTTCACATATTTCTCGCTCTGCTTCTTCCAAAGGTAGAGGCCAGGATGATGACAAGCAGAGTTCTAGGAATCAAGTTTCTATATCAGAGTTTGAACCTAGATAGTTTGGTTTTTAATTTTCCCTATAATAATAATAATAGTAGTAGTAACAATTTTATGGGGGAATTGGTGGCATTTAGTGTTCAAAACAACATAGCCCCCCGTCCCAAAGCTAAATTTACAAGAGGATAATGGTGAAGTTCAAAGATGATTATATATAGACGGTTGTCATCCATTGAGCGTTTCTAGTATTTTTGAATTTACAAACATTTAGGGGTCAAACTCTTTTTTCTTTATTATATTTTAGTACTTATTTTTGCAAATCGTTTGTTAAAATCACGCAATCTTGTCACTCTTGAATAAATGGAATTGTAAATGATCTGAATTATGTCACTTATCATAATGGTTCGTGGATTTAATAATCTTTGGGGGGCATGAATACCTTATAAGAGTATAGGCAATGACATGTCGTATTTGGGAATGCCATAGGGTGACGTGACACAATTCAACTAAACAAAAAGTGCATTGTCACACTCTTGCACTACTGTAGAGTTGCATGCCCTGAGTGACAAATATTTGTTTTTTATTTTTTTAATAAATAATTATATTTTCTAGTAAAGATTTTAATTGTGCAGAGAAAAAATTAATTTTTAAAAACTATGTTAATTATTTATTTAAATTGTATTATCTTAGATAATAATATTAATTTTCAATACACACACACATATAAAGTTATTTTTGACTCAATATTGAATATTAAATTTATTTAATTTATAATCAAAGTTTGTAAATTTTGACCTTAAAAATCCAAAATTAGAAAAATACCACGAGACGAAAACAATACTCCCTCCGGGTCATGAAAAGATTACACACTTCCTTTTCCGTTTGTTACAAAAAAAGATTTCACTTTCTAGTTTTAGAAAAAAAATTGTGATCTTGTGATTCCAATCCTCTTTATACATAACTATTAACCACGCAATTCTATTATAATTAGTCTTTGTATCAAACCAAATGTAAGACTGAACTTTTGCCCTTACTGGAGAAGTTCACCCAGATTCTAGTCCTAGTGGAGATGAAAGTATTGACTTTTTGTGCGTCATTAAATTGAGAGTAGTAGTTTTGAATAGATACTACCTTGTAACAAAATTATTAGGATTAATAAAAACTAAATGTAAGATGTTTTTAAATATTTTATATCGTAGGAATAAAAATGTAAGAGTGATATATTTCATATATTTTTCTAAAAGAAAAGAAAAAAACAAAGAATTTGTGGGGGACTCTTACACAATACACAGTGCGCACATTCGGTTCGTTTCTTATTACGAGGACGATTGTTTTTTAAAAATAAAGCAGAAAAATGCAAAAACAATCGTGAAGCGACCGACGTCGCCGCCGCCGCCGGGAGTCTCTATCTGAGTAAATCCGACCACCCAATCCACTCGCGGCAACAAGTGAGTCGCCGGAACATGTCACTATGCGTGTTCCACCCGCCAATTCTCTCAAGGTTCGGCGTTTGAGCGATGCTGAATGTTATTTCCGTGATTATGCTCTTCCAAACCCTCATAATTGACATCTTGATGTTGTGGCTTAAGTATGTGTGCTAAATTTCACTATGATCGTGTGAGATTTTGATCTTTCTCTGTATAATCTTGAGGTCTCTCGTGGGTTGTCTCACCATTTCAAAATCTGTGCACGATTGCACTGTGTGTATGAGCCATTCATTCTGGTTTGATGCAGATGTGATTGTTGCTAGCCATAATGGACTCTCATCTGCCCTTTGAAGTTGGTCAAACTGCTGAAGCAAAATCTTTCAAGCAGGGATTTCGCGGTGCATGGTTTCGTTGCAAGGTATGGATTGGTCCATCTTTCTGTCATGACAAATGCTCAAGTTTTTTATGTCTAGGCCTAAACTGTTACTGTTAGGAAAATTGTTAATGACAAATTGTCTCATTAAGTGAATCAGGTCAAGATTTATAACATATTAGAGTACATTAGAGTCAGAGTAAGGATATTTCTAAATGGTCATCATAAGAATTAATTGATGCTTATGATTTCCATAAATTATGCTCGGTGGCGGTGGAAAATCATGAATGCGTAAATTTTAGAGATAATTATACTATTATATTGATTTCTTTAAAAGTAAATTAATTCATCTTTAACAATTACGGAGTATCACATTATTTCTCATAATTTTAAAATGAAAATCCATTCTTGTAATACTAGTCCTATATGTTTGGAGCTAAAAGAGTCGTAGACAATGTTTCATTTTCAGGTAAATAATGGACTAAATAAAATTGATACATTAAGCTTTCTTAGCATTTTACTTTCTATGAAGTTTGGAGTCGTAAATACCAGAATGCATCAATGGTCTGGCGGAAACATGCTCTCCATTTTACATGGATAATGCTGCAATCATCTTGACCTGAGACCCCTACAGAGTTGGGATTATATTGGGTTATTGTTGTTGTATTTTTATCTAAATATACTTTTATGCTAATATGATCTTTTGTTTTTTCAAGTTTCAAGAATACACATTACTGAGATTAATTGTTTGATGTATCTGTGTGATATGAAAGTTGATATACGTCCTGTTCTATTCAGTTTTGATTTTAATATCTCTTTTCAATTTTCAGTTGGCACTCTTGTATATATGGTCTGTCTAAGGTTATTGTATTACTTCTTCTCTGGGATATGATTTTTGGCTTCTCAGTGCATTTACATTTCTATGTATATGTTTTTGTCTCAGATAAGGGAGATAAAGAAAAGGATAGAACATTGGAATGCATTGTTGGAGTATTATGATTTTCCTGATGAAAGTAAGTTGCACTTTCAAACATGTTCAGTCCATAGTTGTCACGGCGCCAGTGTACTACCAGGTTGCCTAGTCGGCTAGGCGACCACCCAGTTAACAAGTCATAAATGAGAATTGTAGTACATTAGTTACACTAATATAAGTATATCACATAATCTGTTGTAATTCATAAACATCAAGAGTTCAAAGCCACCATATACTTTACTCACAAGTATATGCCCTCAAAGTGGTATTTTGTTATGTGATTGGTGTTTTTGTTTGATGCATAAGGGCCTTGGGATATGATGGGATAAAGCAAAATAATATTTTAAATTGTCTACGCTTCTTTTAATAGTGAAGTAATAGTAAGTCAATGCGTACATCGCCCCTTCTTTTATTAGTGAAGTAGCAGCTCATCATGGGTCATCTGGAAACAGCCTCTCTATGTTTTGAACATAGGGGTAAGACTAAGTACATCCGTCCCCCCTTACCCTGCAATGGGTGGGTGCCTTTGAGACACTGGGGTAATGTTGTTGTTGTTGTTTGCTTAAGGGCCTTTATTTTGATAGGATTGCTCACTCAAATGTGTCATCAATTAATTATTCTTCCTGCATAAAAGAATATGCGCCAGACATGAGAGGCGAGAAAGTGTTGATGGTGCCAAGTGCTGAACAGGATTCATTGATCTTCAATTCTTCATTTTTCTTTCTTTCTGTTTAACACTTTAATTATTCAAGAACCCCTCACATTTATTTAGTTATCACCCACCTTTTGAAATTAGTCAATGGTCCTTTTTATTAGGAATTTTTTCCAAGCGTTTATTGTGTTTTTCCAGCTTGTCTCTACTAAATATTGTGGTCATATACATTTTAAAGTATACATCTATTAGGCATAATAAGGGTAAAATTGGAATATATAATATTTTTAAGAACACGAGAGTTTCCACTTCTCTTGCTTTGTGTAATTTAGTCAAATGTGTTGTATAATATTGTCCAAAAGAAGCAATATTTATATATATTACTTTTTGACGTGATTTATTGGCAGAGTTAACATGGATGCGGCTGTATCAATATCCCCTATATGGTGTTGGAAAATCAAAGCAAGTCGAAAGGCAATTGATGTTGCGGCCTTCATATCCACCAATCTACTCTGGAAATGAAGTATCTGATGAGAGTTCAGTACCTGAAGTGAGAGTAATTATTCAAGGCAAGTGGAAGGTGGGGGATTTGGTGGATTGGTGGTCCAGTGGCTGTTTCTGGTCTGGAAAAGTGACCAAGTTACTTGCAGATGCAAAAGCTGAAGTAAGTTCATTGTTATTTTGAAGTTCGTGCACTATGTCTTGTATATTTATCTAACAAGTGCAAACATTTGGTACTACATATGCATCTTGGTACTTTTCTTGGACCAGAAGATTCATCTAGTCCTTGTTGACACATTTTAAATGCTTATAGTTGATCCCACAAGATCACGTTCTATGCTTCGCATTTTGGCCGTGCAATACCAATAATGTAATGGACACAATAATAGGAAATATCTCAACTGATCTCGTTTCATGATATTTTTCGTGCATGTGAAGATAACCCTATATAGATGATGGTTTTAGCAATTTTCATGTCATTATTCCTTCTTATGATTGTTAGGATAGGAAGGTCATTAGCTTAAAACATTGCCAATACAGTTTTTTCATGAACTTTGTGTTATTTAATGTTATACATTTCATGGGCACTATAAATTTACTGCCACCACCCATCACTTGGCATTGAGGTGCTAAGGTGGTGGTGGTGATGATGATCATTTGATCCCAGTGTATTTTGGCTGACATTGTCTTTTTATGTTTTAGATTGAGTTGGTTCCACCTCCCGTCGGTGAAGGTAAAACTTATAAAGTGTTTGTCAAAGATTTACGTCCATCTTTAGATTGGTCTCCAGAGCTTGGTTGGAATTTGCCTTCACCTGTTAGTTCCCTTCCTTTAACCTTCCATACTTAGGTTTTGTTTGCATACTTGGAAATATTTGGGAACGATAATAGGAAGGAAAACATTGGCTAAAACTGAAGGAAAGAAAATACTCCCTCTGTCCATAAAAAAACTTCCCGGGTTGACCTGGCACGTAAATTTATGCAGGACAAAAAAGGTATTCACTTTCCTAGTGTACCCCTCTACTATTCTTCAATAAACACAGCTCTTCTTCGCATCACAGCAAACTAGACGCCACAACCTTTACCATTTTCCAATCAGCATCGAAGCTCCTCCCCTGTCAACAACGAATCAGACACCAACGCCTTTACCGTTTTCCAATCAACAATGCAGCTCCTCCTTTGTCAACAACAATTAGACACCACATATTTACCCAACATCCTCCGTCAACAAGAAAGCAGACATGGCTCTTAATTTATTTATTTTTGTTTGTTTCTCTCCCAATCTTTGTCCATGGTTCTGACTGCTGCAGGCTTCGTTCAAATTGTAGACAAGATTGGCTTGTTCTGATCTAGCGAAGAGCGCACTCCTTTAGATCTGACGGAGATGAGGTGCGTTCATTTAGATCTGACACAGATAGGTCAAATTTCTTCATATTCGGAAGATCTGGCTGAGGAAGAATAGGGGAGGAGAGAGAAGAAGGCGGGTGGGTAAGAAGAAGGCGGATGGGGAAGAAGGCCATGGAGGAAGAAGACTGTGGTAGAGGGAGATGAAGAAAATGACAAAGGAAAGAAAGATGGCAGAGGTATGAGTGTGACAATGAGAAAGTGAAGACAGTATAGAGGACAAGGGTGAATTAGTCTTTTGAACATTTTATTTGCCAAAAATGAAATTCGGAAGATAATTAGTGGACGGACCATAAAGGAAAGTGGGAGGATAAAAAATGGACGGAGGGAGTATGAGGCAAAATTTATGATACTAAAAGTCAATAAATTTATTTTAGATACTCTGGTACTATGTAATACTGAACACACTTATTAGATTGGATTTGCTATTGTTGTTGCATTAATTGATACTAAAGTTTATTGATTATATTCTACTTAAAGACAAAATAACACATTTCATTATCCATTGCATTTCCTTGGTAAAACCAAATGGTATAAAATAAATTATTTTCCATAGCAACTTTTCTTTTCCCTAGCATTTTTCTATGATCCAAAAATACCCTTATGGGAAGGAGAACCTGATTTAAATGTTTATCCTTTCTCTCTTGGCACTACACATGTCCCTTCCGAAGATTGTGGTATTTCCTCATATCTATCCAACATGTTATCATTGTCCGTTTAATAAAGTTATTTATGATCAATGTAGGATGGTGATGCGGTCTGTTCATGTGCTCAGCTTATCCAGCCTACTAATAGAGGTATGTTTTGAGAAGAACAAGCATTTCATTTCATTCGATTGATGGAAATTCATGCCTGGTTTGTGAGCGTGATAAGACATACTTGGATACAAAGTAAATGAAAACATTTGCATGTACCATGTTGCCTTACCGACTTATGAAGACATACTTAGATATGGAGTTTATTCACTGACCACTACTGTACATTGCCTTATCAAGTTGTCCATAAAAGTCAGATGTTAATAATGTTTAGTTGGAAATATAAAGAAAACATGATCAGCATCACCTTAATCCCAATTATGATGTGGTCAGTGACATGAATTAAAAGTGTCAATTAGTTAGTTTTAGTTGTCTAAATTAAATTAAAACTCCATATTGCAACCTATTAAAAAAGAATAACGATAGGAAATTCCAAACCTGTCATCTTCATAGCCATAAAGTTGGTTTCCACTAGAACAGAAATTAGATGGCGTTGAGACTTGAGATAGCTGTTCTAGCTACGCCAAATTGTAAAATCAAGAAGCACATCATGGAACAAAAATGAATGATAGGACATTGCACGTATTGCGAATAAATTTGAATGCATGTATACATATTGCACATCTTAATTAGTCGTTTATATAGATCATGGAGAATGGTTATGCAGTCTAGTACAAATGACCTTGCATTTTTTTTAGAAAATAAAGCATGGGTTCAAAGATAACAACTGCATCATTTTGTTTTGTTTTTATTTTTGCAAAATTGATTGTATAGAGATACAACACGATGAAGATGAGATGCCTATGGATCTTGGTGGACATGGTGGTGCACACAAAGGGCATGAAACAGAAAAGGAGTCGAGAAGTACATCAGGGTCGAATACACACATTTATGAGGATTCTGGTAACAAAGAAAGCAGTGATGAAGCCACTGAAGTTGATGGTCAACCCGATGAAGACCTGTATTATGCAAAGTGTCCATTGAAGAAGTTCAGAACCGGTGAAGGGGAACATCTAAATTCCACTGGGTCAGACACTTTGGAAGCAGCTATTATGGATTTGGAAGAAATGAGAAACAAGATTAAGTGGCTTAAACAGATGTTGGAATCTGGAGATCCTCGATCGAATCCTCACAACTCATGGGAGTTTGTGGAACACTTTGCATCATCTACTAATAAATGAATGGTTTCAGACAGGAGTGAGCATGATATGGTACGAGGCAAGACTTATTTCGTACAGGTACCTTACCAAATATTTCTATTCAGTATGAGATTTTACATCGTCTTGAAATATCCGTTTGTTGTCTCAATTTCGGTACAAATTGGAACAAATACTTATGTATCCACTTTACATACAACATGAATATTAAAATATGTCTTATATTTTTAATTTGGTGTGGTGGATGGTTAAGACACATTATTTAAGAAAGGATGGACTCTAGCTAATCATTAAGCCCAACCATACAAGAAGACCCTTTTGTTTATTAGTTCTTCCCTTTGCAAAGTTGAAGCAGCTTGTCAACTGCACCATCAATCACTTTGTCACCTCTCAACTTTATCCTCTCACTCAATTCCTTAGCCTTGGAATTCATTGAAGTTTCTAGTGCTTCTCCACTCTTCTTCCCTACCATCACAACCTTCCTCAAAGCTTTTGCCAATTCCTCTCCCTTTATCTCCCCATTCTCCCCCTTCACCACCTCCACTCCAACCCCAATCTCCTCCATTAGCCTAGCATTTATAGGCTGGTCTAGATGTATTGGCAAGGCTATTATTGGCACCCCAGATGCCAAACTCTCCAACACGCTGTTCCACCCGCAATGACTCAAGAACCCGCATATTCTTTTGTTGCTCAAAATCTTGGCTTGTGGGACCCAACCCTTGACTACTAATCCCTTGTGTTTCATCCTTTCAAGGTAACCTCGTGGCATGGCTTCTTCCTTGCTCGTGTTCACTCCTGTCGGGAACTTTAGTGACCATATGAAGTTCACATTGCTTAGCTCTAGACCACGAGCAATCTCTTCAATTTCTTTGTTTGACATGTAATACTCACTTCCGAATGATGCTAATACACACGAAGACTCTTCTTTCTTTTGTAACCATTCTATGATCTCCTCGTGTTCATCGTCATCCATCGTTTCTCGAATAAGGGGCCCGATTGGGATTACTTCCTTTTTGGTCAAAAGGGAAAGATATTTGATGTACTTGTCTTCGATCTCAATACAAGTATTGATCAAGATGAAACTCTTAGACAAATGGAGGGATCTAAAGCACAACACTCCAATGTCTATAACTTCTTCCTCGTTGGCGCTACTGCACATCTCAACAAATTTTCTCATCTCGTGGTTGTCATGACAATGAATAGGCAAAAAACGAAACTCATCACACTTTATCTCATCCACATGGAACAAGTGTAGAAAGTGTGACATCGTTACCGCTCCAGTCGTGATGAGATGAACGGAAGGAATGTTGAGGGAAGAAGCATGAGAAGCTGCCCAAGGCTGGAAGCCGTCGTATATGAGCAATTCAGGATTTAGAGTTGAAATGATGTCATAAAACATTCTCTTTGTCTCTTGAAACGCCATTTGTAGCACCGTGATGAGGTGCGGTGGCAATGATGTGGTGGTGTGATGGTGAGGCGGAAGCTCCGGCGAGGATGGGAGGTGGAGCTCAAGAAGATGTATTGAGGGAGAGATATGTGGGTGGTGTTTGGCCAAGATTTCGCTTATTGATTCAAGAATGATTGGTGAAGAACATAAGTACACTTGAACATTTCTTTTGGCTAGTTTCTTGGCTAGCTCCAAATATGGTGTTACATGCCCTTTTGCAATCCATGGAAACAATAGAACTTTATTTAGTCTTTGTGTTGCCATTTCTCAATCCCTAAACCTCTCCTTTAGATCTCATTTAGGGTGATGCATTTCTCTCTTTATATATACACGAAGAACGAAGATGAAAGATTTTATATTTTAAATAAAGGATAACTCCATCAGAACCGGATGGACGGTAAAAAAAATCTCTAACGCACTACTCACCTCCATAAATCATAAATATAGGTTGCTGAGAATTAAATTTGTTCAACTCCATAAATCATAGGGAGAATTAAATTTGTTCAACTCCATATATCATAGGGAAACTTTTGGGTAAAACTTATACTCGTGATTGACTTTTGTTTAATTAGTTCAATTAAATAATAAATCTCGAGCAAAAGCAATAACTCTATGTGTTTAATGAGTTGAAATGTATGAACAGATACCAAATTATAATAAAGTTATCCGTGTCCAAAAAAATTAATAAATCTAGTTCAATTAATTACATTTATATGCAATTTAATTGGGCAATTTCTGTTGAAAAGAAAGGGATATTAGAATAAGAACTTTGGACGTAAAATAAAGTTTGTCAACCAACCCCATTAATTGTGGTCACGATAAGTTCATGCAAAGTCTTACGGAGTATAACACCTGAGTTTTGATTAGAAACTCTTGCACTTAATACTTGCTTAGTCCATTTGTTTAGCATAGTTGCCTCACATGAGTCACGCACATCATAGTTGTCAAGGAATCCAACTCGGCTATTATTCCCTGAACACTCTTGCATTGCTGATTGCGCGACACCTACGGGCGCTCCCCCGGTCTCTTTCTAGTACTCCATCCGTCCCACAAAACCTTTCTTTTTTTTTCATCCGTCCCAAAACATCTTTCTCATTTCTATTAAAAATTTACTTTTATCCCTATTAATTATTAACCTACCAATCACATCAGACTCTTTCGTTATTAATCTACCCATCATATCCTGCTTTTACCCATCACATCCAAGAATATTTTTGAAAAATCAATACCAAAATACACTGCTCTTAAATCTTTTAAAAATCAAAACTAGAAACGTTTTGTGGGACAGAGGGAGTATAATCTTGTTCAATTGTTCCTAGGTAGTTTGAGTGGACATGATCTCAATCTCTAGACTTTGACTTGATCAACAGAGTCAAACAATCTAGAGATTGAGATTAACGAACAGAAATGATCAATCGCGCTTACTGCTTAATAATTAAAATTTTATATGATTAGATGCAAGAGTGACACATAGGAGAGGAGAACTTTAGACCTTATTTTTTAGAGTAAATTTTATAATTAATTAATTAAAATATAGAGCTTTTCATATTTATTCCTCTATTACCAAATATTTTGTCCGTAGTCATTTGTTGATGAATGTGTATCTTTCCATGGATAATTTTTTTTTGATATTCTGTCATGCTGGTATTAAATTGAAGATTAAAGTACTATTTCACATCGACTCTACATCCTTCTTAGCTTGCCATAGCGAATGTCAAAGCTCGTTGATGATGTGTTGTTTGTCCATTGAATCGCAACAATAGTCCAAATTGTCATCGTTGGTCGGAAATCCAAGTCCGCAGTAATAGTCATTTTGTTGTGTTGTACATCATGCTGATGCCAGAAGACATGGCCCCATGGCTGGATCTAGTGTTGATGCAAAATTATACTGCTTATCTTCAATTTAACACGAGCATGTCAGAAGACTAGAAAAAGAAACATTTATAGAATGTTACCTATAAACGAAAGCCATAAAATGTTACTTTTGATATTAGATGACTAAGTATGAAAAAATTTCTAATTTTAAAGGACTCACTATAGAATTACTCTATTTTTTTTACCAGTATAAGTGTTTAAAAATTTACTCTCTCGCCAAAAAAGGGGCTCAATTTGACTGAGTACAAGTTTCAATGAAATGAAAATTACACACTATATTATTGTCCTTCCGTCTCAGAATTATCGTCAAAATTACTATTCTGATTTTTCGTTACAGAAATTATTTGATATTGTTTTTAAGTATGTAATTTGATTTTTTATTTTTATACAAATTTATAAACAAAATTGTTTTAAAAAAGATGTGATTCTTTGCTTGTTGTTCGAAGTGATACGATAAATTTGAGACACAGAAAGTATATATAGTTTATGCAAATGTAATAAAAAAATATTGTGAGCTACATAGAACTTTTTGTAAAGACTCCATATATAAAAGAGTTTAGGCATATATAGGAATCAAGACTCCAGATAAAAATAAATCTAACAAATATAGAGTACAAAAAAATAGAAATACATGATGCATATATATAATCTAAATAGAACAAAAATATAGTGACTTTTCTAATGTAGCATCATATATTTTTATTTTCCAATGTAGTACTATTGTTTGATGTCCACTGATCATTATTCAAGTAAATGTCCACCGCTAGTGGCATTGTTCAAACTAAATGTCCAACATTACTAGACGTTGTTCTCACCACTAGACATTATTCAAGTACTGTTTAAAAAATAAAAAAGTTTAAGTATTACATTGGGAAAAAACATAATCCTTCCGTCCCTGAAAACTTTTCTCTTTTCTTTTTTTATCCGTCCTAAAAAACTTTTTCATTTCTATTAAAAAGTCTCTTTTACGCATACTAAATCTTAACCTATCTATCACATCACATCTATTCATTATTAATCTACCCATCAAATTCTACTTTACCCATCACATCTAAGGATATTTTTGGAAACTCAACACTAAAATACACTCCTCTTAAATCTCTTAAAAATCAAAATCTCTTGTTTTAAGGGATGGAGAGAGTATGTTTTAGTACTCCCTCTGTCCCCAAATAGACTCCCCCTTTCGTTTTTTCTGTCCCTAAAAAAACTTCTCTTTTCCCTTAAAAAACCACTTTTACCCCTTACTTTTTCATACTCTACCTATCACATCATACCTTTTTACTAATAATCTATCCATCACATCCTACTTTTATCCATCACATCAAAGATATTTTTGGAAAGTCAACACCAAAATATTCCTCCCTTAATTTTGCAAAAAGTCAATAAGGAAAGTTTATTTAGGGACGGAAGGAGTACTATTTAGTGCAAATTTCTTTATATATATGCATGCATATATATATATATATATATATATATATATATATATATATATATATATATATATGAAGAGGTAGACAACCTTTTTCATAGTTCCCATGTTTTTCATACACCAGCTGCTACTGTGTAAAGTTTCCCAAACTTATCTTCAGTCCATTTCAAACAGTGAAAAAGAGTAAAGAAGAAAAAGAGACTGATGCTCTTGGATTTAAGCTAGCTCTTGGACAAACAAATTAACCCTACACACAGTACCATTCTTTCATTCAAACTCTCTATCCATGCAATAATTACTCATAATAATATTTAGTTTCTGGAAATAATTGTGCATCCCATCCATATTCCATAGATTTGTTTTGCTCTTTTTCATTATTAGTCTCAGTGAAATAATGAGAATTGGATACATTCATTTCATTACTCATCAAATTTAGTCATTTTTACGTACATTATCTATAATCCAATATGCCCCCCCCCCCTCTGTCATTTTTGTGATAATAAAGCTTTTCAAGTATAGTACACAAACCTAATAAGAATTTTAATGCGTCATTCGTCTCTTAAAACTTATCAACTTTTTCTTTTACAAATAAATGAAATTTAAAGAATGTGTAAATTTGGTGTGACTTTCCAATTTTACCATTACATCAAGGCCAATACATTAAATACTTTGTGTTTTTATTGACCTTGATGTGCATTTGGTGTCAAATGTTTGTGGTGATCTTCTAGCATTTTTGGAATAATAATTAGTATAGTACTACACAAACCTATGAATTTTAATATCAAAAAATTACTTTGGGGTACCCTCGATTTTCCGGTAATAACTCTCAGGTCTCACATCATTTAAAATATACTCTGAGATACCCTTGATTTTTTGGTAAGAAATCTTAGGTCTCACTTTTTCTAAAATATTCTTCGAAGTCCTTAAAGTTTGTGATATTATACTCGAAGGGTACATTCTCTAAATTTTAGGCGTTAGATTAGAAATTATTTTACTTTGACAAATTGAAGAATTTTATTTAAATTTAATAAAATAATGATTATCAATGTAAAATTTAGTATTTATCAAAGTAACAAAACTTTAATCATAACGGTCAAATAAAGAAAATGTACCCTTGGAGTACATTACTAAAAATTTTAAGGACCTCCAAAGTATAATTTGGATAATATGGGACCTGAAAATTCTTATCGTAAAATTAAGAACACCTCGGAATATATTTAAGATAATGTGGGACTTGAGAGTTATATATTATCAGAAAATCAAGGCTACCCTGAGGTAATTTTCTGTTCTAGTCCTAAAAAATCCTTGACACTTCGAGTTATATATTTTAATTTTATAATTTCAAAATTGATATAGAAAACTATTATATATTAAAGAAATACATAAAAAGTCTATAAAATTGAGATGTGACCGGATTATATTTTTGGAAGAGCTCACTAAGTATGAGGAAAAGATAATGAAAATATCAAAATAGGAGTATTTTACTCTTTTGTGACCGAAATAAAAGTTCACACCGCCACTGCTATACTGCCCTAGGAGTTCTGTTGCCTGTCGCCGACATTGACCACCATTGACCGGTGATCCTCCACCCTCACACTACCACCATTATTCACATAAAAAAAGGGATTGGAGTAGCCCTAATAATGAGAAAAGAGAAAGGTGAGGGCAAAATCCCATCCATCATATAGTGTATGTATGAAGGTTTGAACAATATATAGAAAGCACTTAACATACCTTTCTACAACATCATTACATTTGAGTGTCAAACACAAATAAATGTAGTATACTATACTACTGGTACTACTACTATACGCTA